TCTTCTTCTTCTTCTTCTTCTTCTTCTTCTTCTTCTTCTTCTTCTTCTTCTTCTTCTTCTTCTTCTTCTTCTGTATTACGTCAGAACAACCAGATTCTGCTTTGCTGGCTGGCTTCTTTTTGGTTTTGTTTCTGTATTTTTCCTCCTGCCCGATGGGACCTGTTATAATAAATAAATAAGAGTTGTTCGGTAACAGAGATCTTAGTCAAGAAACAGAATAGCTCTAGGTGTTTGGTCATCACGATCAGCTGGCTTTCTTACAGATCTGATGCTGTCCTCATGACTGTTAATAGGAATTCTCCCAATAAGGCTTCAGCAACCTGGAGACACATTTCAGGATTATCATGTTATGTGGTGTACTCCTGACTGAGGGTCACACACCCTGCCTGCAAGGGAAGAATGGATAACATTGCTGTATGTGATAAGTGTAGACAAGTGTCGACAGATTTTGCAAACTTAGTGTGAAAGTTAAAGCTGCTTTACAACGTGAATGTGTTTTACTGCCTGAAATGATTCCATAATCATCCTTTCTCTCTCTCTCTCTTTTAATTCCCCCATAGCACTCCACCTAAGCTGCAGACGTAAGTAATATTTCCTACCCACCCACTCTGCCAATTTTCATTTTCACTCTTTTCCTCCAATACTTCCTACAGTACTGTAGGGTGATTCCTTCTTCTGAGATACTGTTTTAACTAGACTTTATAACACAGGGTATTGCACATTGTTACTCTGGCCAAAGACAATGAAAAAGCAGACAATGAAAATCATTAAAGTAAATTTTAAAACACACACACGCGCGTATTTATAAACAGGAGGGCGGGTTGATGAGGGAACGTGTCAGTTAACACTGCCATGTTGCTGGAATGTGTGGAGGGGGAAACCACGGTGCTCTGCCTGCTACGCACAGAGTTTCACTGTCTGGGTATTATCTACTTTCTTGACCTTGGGATGTTCCAGCTGCTGTCGGCTTTTGCTGGTAACCTACGGCTTTTGCTTTTTGCCCGCTTTCTTTCCCCTTGCGCGCGAGCTTTGCTTATTGGCTTCAGCTTGTAAGGGGGAGTGTTTGATCCTAGTATAATTCAGGGTGCCTGGTGCCATACTGTTCCCGGGCATTCACAAGCAGTACATGTGTCATAGTCCTGGTGTACCAATAAACCGAATTCTTCTTATGAAGTGCTGTGTTGTGTGACCTGACTATCGAACCCTGACAGAACACCAAACAAAACAGAACAAAACTGGTGCGAGACAATGATAAAGGAGGACAGATAAATCTCGGGGGGCGGGGAGAGGTGGTTGCATTTCTTCTAGCAGACTCCCCCTTTTCACTCACTCTACTAGGCAGAAGATGGGTTTTCCAGCCTCCAGGTGAGGCCTGTAGATCTCCCAGAATTACAGCAGATCTCTAGATTAGAGACGTCAGTTCCCCAGGATAAAATGGCTGCTTTGGAAGGTGGACTCTGTGTCTTTAACCCCTGTTGAGCTCCCTCTCCTTCCAAACCCCGCCCTTCCCAGGCTCCACCCCCAAATCCTTAGGAATTTCCTGACCCAGAGTTGGCAACACTAGACAGAAGACCGTCCCTGGTGACTGGCAGAAACCAGAATTCAGTGGAGACATTTTGTGGTAATTCCTGATCGGCTCACTCTTGTGTTGGTCCTTCTGACACAGTACGATTTGTTGCAATTACTTCCAGTAGTTTAGCAGATTGCTCTAGGATTGCAACGCAGCAGAGCGCACCTGGTCAGTGTGTGCAACACGGAGTTACACGGAGCCTCTTTATCTTTGTAAACTAACATGAGTCCTTTCATTTAAAAAACTCCATTCTACACAGAATAGTGGAAAGATAGGATTCTAATCTAGTCTAACTAACTAAGATGGATGGAGATGCAGGATGCGTGTCCTACTCTCGTGGTGCCAAGATGGAGGAGTCCAAACATTATAGAATCCAATATAACATGCAGTCAAAATGTAATCAGTCCATTGTTTTAATCTCTTTTCAACAGTGAAGACGTCAAAGATGAAAAGTTAAGACGTCAATGAAGAAAGAAATGGACGAACTTCCCCGGAGTGACCACTCGTTTCGAATTTTTCTTTTTCATACATAAGATCTCAGCTCTGCATCCGCATAATCACAAGGTTTCCAAATTGGACTCTTTCTAGTTCCTAAATGCTTCAAAAGTAGCTCACATCAGGCTCTTTGTATGAAAATCTAACCCGGATCTAGAAAGAGATTATGCGGATGCAGAGCTGAGATCTTATGTATGAAAAAGAAAAATTCGAAACGAGTGGTCACTCCGGGGAAGTTCGTCCATTTCTTTCTTCATTGACGTCTTCACTTTTCATCTTTGACGTCTTCACAGTTGAAAAGATATTAAAACAATGGATTGATTACATTTTGACTGCATGTTATATTGGATTCTATAATGTTTGCACGTTTTGCAGTAATTCTATTGTAATTATTACTGTCATACTGCTACCCCCTCTATCTATTGTAAGATGGAGGAATCCAGCATTGTGTGTGGAGACAAGGTGTAAGGCCGGAAGGAAGGAAGTTTCCTTAAGAGTAGCCATCTACATGTGAAAAGGATCGCATCAGAGAGAGAAGGAAAGGATGTTTAGTGTCCTAGCCTACCTGTCTCTCTGACTCTCTTGTAATCTTCCTCTGAAGTCTAGAGCTCATATTAGTTTACAAAGCTAAAGAGGCTCCGTGCAGCCCCGTAGCCAGAAATTTTTGGCTGGTGGGGCAGGGGCGCTGGGAAAGGGGAGCAGGTGTGGGGAATTTAATTAGATTACTGTGGGGTGGGGGATAGTAAAGGAGAGAGAGAGAGAAGACATGCTGATTGGGGGTGGAGGGAGTGAAACTGACCAGAAGCAGCAGGGCAGCTTTCCTTTCCTTTCCCACTGCTGCGAGAAAGTCGTCTCCTCACCGCTGCAAGAGAGGCACACCGGGGTTGGGGGTCTGGGGAGGTCTGGCACCCTCCTGGAGTGGGGCAGGGCTCATCCATGGCTCCGTGTAACTTTGTTCTGGAAGAGCTTACGTACCGACCAGATTCGCTCTGCCACGCTGTAAGCCTAGTCCACTCTGCTAAGCAACTGTGAGTCATTTCAACACGATTGGCGTCAGGATGCAGCATTTCGTGGTGTAGACACAACAACGTTGGCATGTTCTCTTGCAGGGAAGACATTGTTGCCGATTTAGTGGAACAGATTTCAGAGCTCACAGGCATTATGGAGCAGTTGCGCCGAGATCACGAAACAACCCACAAGCAGGTGAGTCCCTTCAACAAGACACACCATGGTCAAGTGGTTTTGAGAGGAACTGTGAAAGGAAGGTGCTTTCAAACTCTCTTTCCAACAGAGAAAGTGTTTTTAAGTGAAGGAAGGGCCCCCTAAAGAGAAATGTAAAGTACTGGAGTAAAAACTGCTGTATCAGAAAGAGCCGCTACATGAAGTGAAGCATTCTGGGAATGCGCAATAAAGAGCACTCATGGCATGATTTGGTACCTTTGAAGAAAGAGGAGTTGTCTTTTTATTTTCCCAGCTGGAGAATGAGATGGAAGAAAAATGCAACGAACTGCAGACAGAACACGAAAGTAAAGTCAGGTATCTTGCGCATGTTTATTTTTATTCAAAAATATTTTTAAGGCCTCCCCTGCCCCACGGGCTGCAGGTGAATGACAAGTAGTAATTACCAGAAGCGGCTCCCGATCTCAGAAGGATTTGGATTGGTGGGGCATTTTGGGGCTCTGCCCCCTCAAATGTGAGGCGCCCCCCCACAACTGCTGGTGCCCCCTCCCCTCCCCCCTCCTGTGACATTAAAAGGGCCCTCCAGCTGATTGGCGGGAGCACATGGCCTGCCGATAAGCTGGAGAGCCCTTTAAATCTTGCAGGATGGGAGGAAGAGGGGCAGCCGTACGCCTTCCCTGAACTCCAACGCCTTCCTTTTAAATGGTGTTTTCAAGCGGGGCTGCCCACGCCTGAACTCCAAGCAGCGCAATCGCCACTTGGAGTTCAGGGAAGGTGTGCGGGGGTCCCTCTCCCTCCCCTCTCCCTCCTTCCCTGCTGCCCACAAAATTTCCCCGTGCCCCACCAACCCAAAATTTCTGGCTACGGGGCTGGCTACTGGCTATGTCACTGATCGCTTGAAGGTGTTTTTTTATTATTTTTCAAGGCTTTTCACTCCTCCAGTCAAAACTCTACAAAATGCCAGGGAGGGAAATGAGGAGGCTGAAGTTGGTTCCCAGCTTTTAAACTGTCCTCATTTTGTACGTCGTCTTTGCAGGCAGATTGAAACGCTTCATAAAACGGAAATGGAAGCTTTGGAAGAGCAGTACAAGAAAGAGCTACGGACGGAGAGGGCAACCGCACAAGAGAAACTGAGTATGACTTGGGGCCAGAACATGCATTACACGTGCATGAAACACACACACACACACCGCCCCAGTGTTCCTTTATATGCAGAAGAAGCTGTTTCAGACTCTGTGTGTGTACGCTCAGGGGTGTCAAATGGAACCCGAGAAGCTGCAGACGGCCAGGGTGTTCAACAATTTCCCAATCTTTCTATACACCAGAGCAGAACAAAGTTTGAGTCCACTGGCATCGTTAAGACCAACAAAGTCTCATTCTGGTGTAAGCTTTTGTGTTGCATGTGTACTTAAGAATTGTGCACGCACACTTGAAAGTTTAGACCCGGAATTAAACTTTGTTGGTCTTAAAGGTGCCAGTGGACTCAAACTTTGTTCTATTGCTTCAGATCAACACGCCTACCCACCTGAATCTGTACTCCAGAGTGTGAGGCATCCCAACTATATGAGACCCTAAATGAGTGAGAAGGCCCTTGGGTAGAGCAATTTAAAGCAGAGAAATGGCAGATGGGAAAAGAGATGAGCAGGCACAACCCCCTCCTGCCGCTTCTCCTTCCCCAATTGTTCCCTCCACCCAGGGGTCATTTTCTGCAGGAGCGCACAGGAGCGGAGCTCCGGCAGTAAAGAGCCCAGGGGGCGGGCACATGCAACAAGCCCCGCCCCCTGCTCCCAGCAGCCCTCAGTCAGAGCAAGAAGCAGCCAGATAAGTTGCAGAGCTCCCCGGCTCCCCGGTCCAAAACAGTCCAGTAGCACCTTTAAGATTAAATTTTATTCAGGTACAAGCTCTCCCTCCTCTGTGAGGACAGATCCGCACGTCCCCCCGCCCATCAGCTAGCAATCCAAAAGAGTCCAGTGGAGCCTGAGCAGTGGGTGTTGCCTTCTGACACACTTCTGGTGATATCAGGGGGTGTGGCATATGCAAATAAGTTATGCTAATGGGTTATGCTAATGAGCTCCTGCACCTCTTTTTTACGAAATGACCCCTGCCTCCACCTACCATAAAAAGGGTGCATGACTTTTAAATTGGCTTTTGAAGGGGAGCCAACAAGAGCCAAGAGGCATCTGATTTGGGGAAATCCATCCCTCAGGCAGAGATTTATTTACTTACTTACAATATCTTAAGCCCAGCCTCCCTGCAAGGAACTCAGGGTAGCGTTCACCGGTCTCTGGGTTACCATCATAGCCACCCTCTGAGCTTGTTTAGGCTGAGAGCATGTGACTGGCCCTGGGTCACTCACCAAGTTTCCATGGCAGGGTGGGGATTTGAACCTGGGTCTCCTAGATCCTAGTCTGACCCTCTAACCCAGAGGTATCGAACTCATTTGTTATGAGGGCCAATGATGGAACACTGTGTCTGGGGCAGTGATGGTCTGTATTCTTGGTGATTGGGGGGCATCAGTGGGAGGGCTTCTGGAGTTCTGGCCCTGTTGGTGGACCTCCTGATGGCACCTGGGTTTTGGCCACTGTGTGACACAGAGTGCTGGACTGGATGGGCCACTGGCCTGGTCCAACATGGCTTCTCTCTTACGTTCTTAAGAGCAGAGGTCTATCCGTGGCTATTAGTCACAAAGTATAGGTGGAACACTGTGTCTGAGGCAGTGATGCTCCATGGCTATTAGTCACAAGGTATAGGTGGAACACTATGTCTGGGGCAGTGATGCTCTGTATTCTTGGTGCTTGAAGGGGGCAACAGTTGAAAGGCTTACTAAGTTCTGGCCCTGTTGGTGGACCTCCTGATGGCACCTGGGTTTTGGCCACTGTGGCACACAGAGTGTTGGACTGGATGGGCCACTGGCCTGATCCAACATGGCTTCTCTTATGTTCTTACGACATCCATCCACCAGTTCAGAGATTCCTTTCTTCCTTAAATGATAATATTCATTTAACCTATAGGTTTTGAACAGTGCCACATTAGAATCTGCATAAACCAAGCTAAACAATAATCTGAACAGCATTTTCTACCTGCTATAACGTATGAAAAGAATTTGCAATAGCCAAAGTGACGTCCAAATCCACCCCAGCCATAAGTCTCCCCAGTTTTACTCCCACTGATGCACCTACCATCCCACCTAGGGGTGAGATAATTCAGAAATCCCTCACATTTCAGAAAAAGGGACATTCCAGTGTATCAATTTTCCCGAAAGCACACATGCAAATCCTCTCCGAATAGGGCACCTTCTTATAACGACCATTCATCATTTGTGATGGTACAGAATTCAACCCAGCCAGCATAGAAGCTCTCCCATTCTGCTTAGTGAACAGTTGGAGACTTCTGGGACAGGACAATCCCAAGTAAGTGGGGGAGCAAACTCTTACGTTCAGAGACTCCCACACAGGGCTGTAGAGTGCGTACCCCCAAGTGCACGAATCTGCACACTCACTCAACACACGATTGCCATCAAATGTGGGTGGGGGATACCCAAAAGAAAGAGAATTTTAGAAGGGAGAGCCAAGTTTTTGGTGTGTTTTTTTTTTAAGTTCTGATAATTTCAATCAGAGTTGGTGCTAATTTATGAGGGGGTTCCGTACTGATGACTGTCCAGCTGCTTTGGGCCATCCTTCAGAGAACCAAATGAAAAGGGAAAGTTTAACGGAGTGTAAAAGACGGAGTGTGTGACATGCTTAATCCGTGTCTTTGTTTTCTCAGGCGGCATGCAGAAGGAATACAAGTATCTGAAGAATGCATTCCGTGTGTACCAGGTAAGATTTAAATGACCTTATTAACTTTCTACTGGCTCCTCAGTGATTATGGAAATGGTGGCCAAATTTTTGTTCTGCGCTTCCAAGAGAAGGGAATGTATCATTAACTGCATATGACTTTGTCCCCCTCCCCACAACAGACACCCTGTGAGGTAGGTGGGGCTGAGAGAGCTCTTGAGAGAACAGCTCTTGAGAGAACAGCTCTGAGAGAACTTGTGACTGACCCAAGGTCACACCAGCAGCTGCATGTGGAGGAGTTGGGAATCAAACCCGGTTCTCCCAGATTAGAGTCCGCACTCTTAACCACCACACCAAACCAAATGAAGAGAATAATCTTAAACAGGTCTATTCCAAATCCTACTTAGGTCTATTCAGTGGGGTTTACTCCCAGGAAAGTGTTTGTGGGCTGGTAGTATCAGTCACGGAACTCACATGCCACATCTTGTCTGTCCTTACTCATCCCCCACCCACCCCAAGATTCTTCAGTCTTATTGGGACCTTGATTCAAGAGTGTTTGCAGTTTTCTTCAGAAAACGCTCCTGCGTTGGAGATGAAATAGCTCTGAAGAATCTTCCCACTCAGCCTAGACGTTCCTCATTTCTTGAATGGATGCAGGGTCACAGACAGTGTTCCCTCTAAGCTGAGTTAGTGAATGCTAGCTCACAGTTTTTTAGCCTCTGGCTCACACATTTTTGTCTTAGCTCAGGAAGGAGGGTTCCAGAGCAAACTAATTGATGCAGTAGCCAAGTCGCTCGCTCACAACTTTAATGCCAGTAGCTCACAAAGTAGAAGTTTTGCTCACAAGACTCCACAGCTTAGAGGGAACATTGCTCCAGAGCAAACTAATTTATGCAGTAGCCAAATTGCTCGCTCACAACTTTAATGCCCTTAGCTCACAAAGTAGAACTTTTGCTCAGAAGACTCCACAGCTAAGCTTGTGGGGGTTTTCCTCTGGTTTGCTGGCCCACGAACTTTGAGCATAAGGCGGACGTGGATTTCGCACAGGCATCTTTGGCAAGCCTTCAGTCTCCCTTCCCATTTTGTAGGACAGCATTTCTGACGAAATGGAGGAAAAGTGGCTGAGAAGGCAAGCGGAGTGGAAGAAGAGCGAGAGGACGGAGCGAGAGAAGGCGCTGTTACAGCAGAGTGAGTCTTTGCTGACATCTTTATCTGAACTGAACGACCCTCCCCGTCGCCCTTCATCTAGTGCTACCGTCGACTTAAACAGTTTTCCTCATTTATCTGAATTTCTGATTATTCGAACATTTTGGCTTGGCATGGGCCTCTCTGATACATGCATTCAGAATGGACATGTATTTTTTGTGTGTTCATTTGGGTTTGTTCTTGCATTTTGTGTGTGTGTGTGTGCTCGCGTGCCTGGAAGTCACAGTGACTTCTGGCGACCCCTAGTGGGGCTAGGATGTTTCAGAGAGGTGGCTTGCTACTGCCTGCCCTGGTATTCCTTGGAGGACTCCCTTCCAAGTACTCGCCAGGGTCGGCCCGGCTTAGCTTCCGAGAACTGACCGAGACGGGGCTTGCCTGGGCTATCGTGGTCAGGGCCGTTTGTGTGTTGGGATGCCTTCATTAACTCGATCCTCGGTGGCTTAAACAAGATACGGCCAACACGAAGCATGAGAGTGTTGATTCCTTGTCGAACATTATCCTCATAATTCCCATTTAAGGAGTGCAATTGAGGGTGTGTGTGTGTGTGTTTTAATAGGATACCAGTGACACCCCCATGCTCTGGTTCTGGGAGCTTCAGTCCCCAAAAGACCCTGTCACTGAACTGTGGGCTGACAGCAATACATTCTGAGGATGGAACAACCTTATGGGTTGGATCCAGACTCAATTAGCAATTTCTGCTGAATGCCCCTTCCCACTGCAGAGCCCCCTCCTGCCATCCCTCAGTAGGGTTGCCAGCCTCCAGGTGGGGGGAGGAGATCTCCTGGTATTACAGCTGATGTTCTTATATTAGATGGAATCATGGAGGATAAGTCCATCAATGGCTACTAGCTGTGGTGAAATGTAAAATGCTCCTCTGTATATTAGAGTAATTCTTATGTTTTTGGTTATTAAGCATGTTGCACTCCATTGCAGCTTGCAGCACTTCATTCTAATGAAGAAATAAGTACAGAATGACAAACCTGATGAAGGGCACGCAAACGGATAGTGTACTAGAACTCCGTCGTTTGTCTGTAACTAGTGCTGTATTACTTTGTATGTATTGCTAAGCTTTATATCACATATTGTAGTGTTATTGTTAATAACTGAATTTTCAACATTGCATATAAAACCCAACAAATATTGTTTAATTGTACACGGTGATTTACTGTTTCACTGACATGTAGGCAAATGGCAAGGCTAATGTCTGGGCTATGTTACTTCAGACTGCCGTCGGTGGCCTTTTGTGGTCAGTGCTCTTGCATTAAACACACATACACATAAATATGGTGAACCAGTGTGACATAGTGGTTAAGAGGGTCGCTGCAGTATCTAGAAGATCCAGGTTCGAATCCCCACTCATGCCATGGAAGCCCACTGGGCGACTTTGAGCCAGTCACATTCCCTCAGCCTAACCTACCTCACGGGGTTGTTGTGAGGATGAAATGGAGGAGAGGAGAAAGAGTTAAGCCGCTTTGCGTCCCCATTGGGGAGAAAGGCGGGGTACAAATGAAGCAAAATAAATGCATAAATAATAAGTTACATTTTAGGAAGGAGAGTTTTCGCTTATTTCTTCGCTCTGAAATGCTAGTTTTCTTTGTGTAAGGATCTTTTTGCCATAGCCTGGATGGCCCAGGCTAGCTTCAGTCTTGTCTTGTCTGATCTCAGAAGCTAAGCAGGATCAGCCCTGGTTAGTATTTGGATGGGAGACCACCAAGGAAGGCCAGGGTCGCAACACAGAGGCAGGCGATGGCAAACTGCCTCTGAACATCTCTTGCCTTTGGGGGTCACCGTAAGTCAACTGCAACTTGACAACACTTTACACACACAATGGTTGCGGTCACACGCACGAGATAATGCGGGGGGGGGAGGAGTGAGGCTATTCCCTCCAGAGGATATTGACCCACAGTTGTGCGATCACACACCCACACAGCCGTGGGGGGCGGGAGGCCCAGCCCGCCACTGCGTGATCAGACGCACCCGTGGGTGAATTGGGGTGGTTTTTTTGGCTGCGTGTTTCCGGTGCGCTTCAACGGGGGATCGATGATTTGCATCTCTGCACTAAGTGTTCCCTATTGAAAAGTACTGGGTTCGATGCATGAAGAGGTGGAGTACGATATGCTGAGCAAGTCATGTTTATTTGATACAACACAAGAACAAGAACTGGCCAGCAAGGGCCAACTATATACACCCCCCGAGACACACCCACAGTCCTACTGGAGGGTTTGAATCTCCTGCCAAGTTCCTATTGGTGGACTAAAAGGTGGACTAGGATCCTTGGCCCCTATTGTGTTAGGAGCCAAGCTAGGGGACTCAGGACGTAGACCTCTAGTGGCGGTCCACGGACACAACACCTATGCAGTGTGCGATGATGCACATACTGAAACGAGGGGGAAAACCGGCATGGCATCAGGATGGCCCAATCAGGCCATCCCAACGCCATGAGAGCACACTGGCGCGATCACACAGGGGAAAGTCCATTCCTGGCCCCTAGCTACTGGACTTTCCCTAGTGTTTTTTTACTCCACTTCTGCGGCGGAGCAAAACGGGTTGCCGACGGGTGCGGGACGCCTGGCAGATGTTCTCACCTGATCGCGCCTTTAAAATCTGCCCGGCATTAGTGCCTATGGCGCGGCTAATTCTGTGTGTGAGCGCACCCAATAATCTTTTCACAGAGAGGAGTATTCTATCACGTGATTACTCACCTGCTGGACTGACATGCCCAGACTCAGTTTTCCCACCTTAGTGGCAGCCAAACTACATATTACACACGAGACGTGTGAGCAGTTTCCAAGTCAATTTTTGTTTCTTAATTTAAATGAGCAGATCTGGATGGCTACTAGTTTGAGCAGAGGGATGGGAAGGGGGAGTGAGGGAGAGTTGAGGAAGTATACCGCAAATAGGTTTACTACGTCACTCAGGTTCTTACAGGACAGCCTCTGTGCCATTCCTCTCCTAGCTGGCAGGTCTTAGACACAGTTCCCGTTGCAAAATGACAGAGGAGAGGTCAGCAAAAACATGCAAGAGTTTCTGTGACTCTCCACCCGTCTGTTCGTGACTAACACAGATCCAAAATATTTATGCTTTTCTCAGAGCAGTCCTTGACGAGGGAGTTTGAGATGAAGCTGGAGGAAACCCAGAAGAAGATGCAGGGGACTAGTTTTGTGGTAGAGAAGGTTTTACAGCAAGAGAAAGAGGTACGGTTTCAAACGGAGCAAAACCTGTGCTCGTTCAGTGATAAGCACTTTGCAGGGGCCCTTCTGGGTCTTTAAAATAGAGTCGCGTCCTTGGAAGTCCATGGAACATCATCTTGTTCCCTACCTCAGTTTTTTTAAAGAAACCATTTTTTCCCCTTTCTTTCTTTATTATGCACATACACAGACAAAAACAAAACCCCACAACCAAAAAAACAAAACATAGAACTTATGCTATACCACATAAAAGCAGATCCGTCCTCTGTACCTTCTAAAGTACTAATTGAACAATTATTTACAGGTATTAAGAATACTTAAGTATTCAATTCTACCCATTTATAAACATTTGACCAAAATTTTTTTAAAAGCTGAATTCATATTTCCGTGGATTTTTTTGTGTTAGATTATCCATTTCAATCACTTCAGTTGTTTTATTAATGAAATCCCATCTGTCTGGTATCTTTTCGCTTTTCCAGTACTTAGCTAGTGTTAGCTAGAAACCATTTATTGTGCTTAGTTTTCTTACATCAACGAACAATATCTTCTTATGTCATTAACCAGTAAATTACAATGAACAATAAAAGACACAGAGAGAAAAAACATGAGAGCTGCCATGGTGTCGTGGCTAAGAGTGGCAAACACTGATCTGGAGAATTGGGTTCTAACCAGGGGTCGTTTCATAGAAAAAGAGCTAGGGGAACTCATTAGCATAACTCATTAGCATATGCCACACCCCCTGACATCACCAGAAGTGTGTCATAAGGCCACACACCCCGCCCCCAGCGGTCCCGGCCGCCGCTGCCGGCCTTGCAGCTCCACTGCCGAGCCCCATGAGGGGCCCGGCGGTGGACCTGCAAGGCTGGCGGGAGTACAAGGAAGCCCCGCAAAGGCCCTCCATGGCCCTGGAAGCGGGGCGGCCGGAAGCAGGGGGCGGGGCTTCGTCATGTGCCCCGCCCCCCCGTACCTCACCTGGGGGAACTGCGATCCCCCACCATCCTCCCCGAAATGACCTCTGGGTTCGATTCCTTCACTCCTCCACCTGAAGCCAGCTGGGTGACCTTGGGCCAGTCACGGTTCTCTCAGGACTCTCTCAGCCCCACCTGCCTCCCAAGGTGCCTGTTGTGGGGAGACGAAGGGAAGGCGATTGCAGGCTGCTTTGAGATACTTCAGGGTAGAGAAAAGCGGGATATAAAAACCAACTCTTCTTCTTCTTCTCCTTCTCCTTTCTCCTCCTCCTCCTCCTCATTGACCATTTATCATGCATCCAATTCAATTTGCAAAATATAAATTAAAACAGAGATTCAAATCCAAAGTCTTAAAATCTATTATCTAGACTGCTACTAATACTATGTTTGGATCGAAATTTACGCCTGCTGTTGTCTAATATTTTTCTTTTTTAAAAAATTAGTTTTAGTGATAATACAGCAGTATCGCAAATAGTACATATTTTCGGACACATACAGATCAAGACAAAAACAGTAGTATATATTATCATAACAGGTGGCATTTGGTATAATTAACAAATACAACGTAGATGAGGAAAGTAGTTTGCCTAGAGGATTACAACTGTTTTACAAGAGACACGTCATTGACCACTTGAGGAATTTCTTTTTGTTTCACCAGGTATTCTAGGACTGGGGAGCCAGATTGGGAGAAAGTTGTATGAAGGTGTTTGTCTAATATTTTTCAATCAATCTGATATTCAAATATATCTCAAAATATTTTCTTTTACTCGCTCCTTTGGTTTGTTCGTATTCCAGTATTCAATACATGGGAGCCATGTTCCCACAAACTACTCCTGGGCCTTTGTTTTTCCCCCTCACAATTCCTGAAGCCTTGCCTCTGTGTCTCCTGCTGCCCAGCACCTATTATTTATTTATTTATTCCATTTATATCCCGCCCTCCCCGCGAGCAGGCTCAGGGCACCTGGTCACCTCTGTCCCTCTCTCTATACATGCCGTATCAGATGTTAAAATAGGATAGGCTCCTTAAGTTTAGGAAGTTACAGATCTGTACAGAGTTTCATTTATCTTGAAGCTTTCTGTAGCTCACTGGGGCAGCACATGGTCAATGGCTGTCTCCTTCACACCTCAGTTACGAGTTCTGTCCCCCTAATGGACCCAGCACAAAAGAGACCTCCTCCTTGCTGCAAGGAGCTTTTATCAACTCTTTTCTCCCCACCCACAGACCCGGTCAGGCCAGGACAGCGATGCGCTTACTGACATCTCTAGCATTTTCCTTCCTGTAAGCCTCTCTAGTATCTAATTCCTCCAAACCTCTGTTCCCTGCTTGGGGAAGGGGGGAGAACTTGACCCACTCATTATCTCTCCTGCTAGAGTTATTAGCATTTGTATGAAGGTAAGCTGGAAAGCAATTAGACTGCCTCCCCCCTCTTCCAGTCTGTTCTCTGCAGGGGGGGGGACTTTTAAAACTCAGAGGGAAGGTTTTGTTCCTTTCAAACCTCCAAAGAAGAAATGCATTTCTTCACAGGTGCTGTTGGGGGCAAACCTCAGAAGAATCCACCTCTATTTTAGACATCATTAGAAGTCTTCAATATGTTTAAAGTCCTTGGGGAAAGTGTATGGAAACCAGAAAGAAGAGTTTGCCACCAAAATGGGATTTTCATGCAGTTAATGAACACATCCATTTGGGTATCTGGTGGAAGCCAGTGTGGTGTAGTGGTTAAGAAGATTTGGATCTGGGAAACTCAGGTTCAGAACCTCAGTCGGCCCATGGATACTTGCTGGGTCACCTTGGGTTAGTTGCACTCTTTCAGCCTAACTTACCTCACAGGGTTGCTGTGAGGATAAAACGGAGAAGATAATTATTTAAGCCACTTTGGGTCCCCATTTTGGGAAAAGGCAGGGCATAAAGGAATTAATTAAATAGATAAGTGTCTTTGTGCTGCGTCAGTCAAGGTATGATTTTTTTGAAGTATATGTGATGATCCCCAGACTCACAGCGAGCCCAACAAAGGAATTTAGGATTGTGTCTGCTGAATTTTAATTTTCTTACATCACTCTCCAGCAGTTTCCCTTTTCCAGGGTCTTCTCAAGCAACATGAAGAAGACTTGGAAAAGATAAGAGTTTTGAACGTGAAGATTGATGTAAGTATGGTTAACCGTTTTGGGCAGGTGCATGAAAAGCATCTCTACAAAGAATCTGTAGGACATTCTGCCCCCCCCATGAGGACAGCACACGTTGAGAACCAAACAGTTCCTATCAGAATGTCTTTTAAGAATCAACAAGGAGCCACTCCACGAAGTGAATGTGTTAAGTCGTGAGCTTAACAAAGAGTCGGAGAGTGATTTCAGCAAGAATGCGGCTTTTATTCTTCAACTTCAATACTTCTCCAACACGGTACAACATCAGTCAGCCAGAACAGCTTTAACATAGCAGCTGCTCTGTATTTAAACATTCCCGGCTAATATAGCCACGCCTACTGTACATTTCACAACCAATAAGGTTGAACCTATAAAGGCCAATCACGAACGTTCCCGCTCAGGGAGCTTCTTCATGGTGATTGGATATTGCTTCCTGGGCTAGTGTTCCTATTGGTTACATTGGGAGCCTAGCCCAGGACGAAGCTTATCATGAGATGGCAATGAGATGATTCACGTTACATTCAGTACATGCATTCAAGTCAATTAGAATACACTACAGAATGGTTCCCTTTAGCGTTCAAAACAAACAAGGTGTTTGGGGCTCTGGCCAGGAGCTCCAGGTTTGCAGAAATCCCAAGGAAACAATATTTAAGATCCAGGTTTGCTTACAAGGAGATTTTAATAAGCAGTGGTCAAGCTTACAGAAATAGCAGGCTAAGCTCCCATCCACTGGCTCTCAAACACACACGTGCACAGTGAAACTTAGCCAGAATTTGAGATGAGATACATAGCTAAAACCAGGGGTCATTTCCTGCCAGAGCGCCCCGGAACAGCACTCCGGCAGTAAGGAGCTGTGGCCCCACCCCCTGCCCGCAGAGAGACTCAGGGATGGGGGGATTTAAATGCCTGGGTTCCCTGCCCTTCCCCTCTGCAGCCAGTCCCCCATGGCAGGTTGGCTGGGGAGGGGGAGGGGAGGGGAGGTGGGCAGACATGCCAGCCTTTCCCTCTGAGCCCCTCCGCTTTTGGGGAGAGACTCGGGGAAGGGGGGGATTTAAACTCATTTTCATATGCCTTAACTCATTTTAAACATGCCTGCCCTTTGTCAGGGAGTGTGGCATATGAAATTGAGTTATGCAAATGAGCTCCTGCCCCTCTTTTTCTAGGAAATGACCCCTGGCTAAAACTAAGCATCTTATACCCTAAAGTCTGGCTACCAGTCAAGAAATCGTTAATCAAGCTAGAATGTCAGGCCATCTCGCACCTGGCATCTAGTGGTGAGAGAAAACAAATCAGGCTTCCTAGATAAGAACTGTTAACAAGCATGAGAGGGAAACTCTTGGGAGCGGCCTGATGCCATCCCCTCAGAGAACTCCAGCACCAGCCTGTAACAAAGATGGAGTCACAAGGCTCTACACAAGGTAGGTTAAAATCCTTTATGATTTCATGAACCAGCCCGCAGCTACCGGGTGGACTAGGAAGGCAGGATTCTCAGTGAGATACATACATAAATTCTAAACCAAATGTTTAATTCTTTAAAAATAAGAATTAGAAAAAAACTTACATCTGTGTGGTTCCTCTTGAACTAGGTTGTGTAAATTCTTGAAACGTCGTCACAGTAGGACATAACTTTTAACCCTCATTTCTTGTGGTTTCTGTTAAAATATGTCATTCTGTTATTGGAAGGGACCTCCAGGGTCATCTAGTCCAACCCCCTGCACCATGCAGGAAATCCACAAATACCTCCCCCCACAACGCCAGTGACCCCTGTTCCATGCCCAGAAGATGACAAAAAACCCTCCAGGATTGCTTCCTGACCCCAAAGTGGCGATCAGCATTTCCCTGGGCGGGTAAGAAAGAGCCACGTGAACTAAGCACTGAGGCAGCCCTTCCTGCCCTCCCTTCTCGTGATCTGCCTAAGTTCACAGAATCTGCATTGCTGTCAGATGACCATCTAGCCTCTGTTTGAAAACCTCCAAAAAAGGAGAGGCCACCACCTCCCTAGGAAGCCTGTTCCACTGAGGAACTGCTCTGTCAGGAAGTTCTGTCAGGTTGTTTTCAACCAAAATGTTGGCCTACCAAATTTTTAAAGAAATCAGCCAACAGAGCCTTGATGCAGTAAGAAATGGAATCTAAGGATGATGAACTCTAAGTCTATGCAGGGGCGGTCCTGGCTGTAGGGTAACCATGGCCGCTGCCCTGAGCCCCCCCTCCAAAGCAGCCATTTTCTCCAGAGGAACCGATCTCGGTCATCTAGAGATCATCTTTAATAGTGGAAGGTCTCCAGGTCTCCAGGCAAACCTACATGACCTCTATGAATAAATCCAGCTTTAGGAAAAGAGAGGGATAAAGGGTATGTGCTCTAATTCAGATTTCCCTGGTGAAGGAGAAGAAAAGGTGTGACAAACAAATGGGGTAACTGTAAATGACAGTAATGCATAAAACTGCCTTTCAAAGATCTTACATGAAGTCCTGTTCCAAGGGCCTTCCTTCTGGGGGGCTGAGTTTTAAGAAACAGGGTTTTGTCAGCGGCAGTCCTAGTTCTGTGGTATGACCTCCCCCAAAGTGGTTCACTTCTCCCCTTTCCTCTTGGCCTTTAGATGCTTCTGCAAGACGACGGGTGGAAGGAACATGCTTAGGTTTTTGATGGCGTTACTGAAAAGTACGCAGACGGAGAGTGATTTCAGCAAAGCGTACTTTATTCAGTCAGGAACAAGACAGCTTTGGCTGGCTCGCAGGCCGGCTTATATTCCCCAAGAAACCACCACCCAAAACACACCTCCACTTCCCAATAGGTTATTTACAGTGGCCGAGAGTCCCATTGGCTTTTCGGCCAGGAACCTAGCCCCCTGATTGGAGCAGGCTAGGATCCACATAGTCCATTGTCTCTTGGAGCGAAGCTCTACGGTTGTCCCTGGACATGTCTGGACTTGTCAGGACTTGATACACTACAGTTACCGACTTAGGTTTTTAACCCCGAATCCTTTTTTATTGTCTCGTATGCGATTATTCCAAGTCGATATCTTGAGCAACTGTTAGCATACAGAATATAAATGTTTTATATTAATTAAACAAACACCATTTTTGTCGTTGTGCCCTATAAAAGTCTCTGGAGGAAGAGCTGAAGGAAAAGAACGAGACTCTGAACGCCATCGCTTCATCCCTTCACAACACAGAGATGGAACTCCAGCATGAGGTGAAGAACCGGGAAGAAATACTTCCGGGGGAAAGTTCAAGAGGGGGGGGGGGTACTTGGGCTAGTCTGAGGCAGCAGGCGGCACCTTAAGGACAACCAGATTTTTATTCCAGCATAAGCTCCTGTGAACTAGAGCCTGTGCAACTGGAGAAGCCGGCTCGTCCATGGAAACCTGTGCTAGAATAAAAATTTGTTGAGTCTTTAAGGTGTCAGAAGATGCCAATCTGTTACGGAACAAGTTGATAGGGAGGGACTCACTGTCTGATAGTGGTCAGGAGGATGGGGGCAAAGGATGCGGGAGGGTCTGAGACTGAGGCTCAGGCTAGAGTATTTTTAACAGGTCAGTTCGGGAGCTCCAGAAATTAGCAAATGCTCAGAATAAGACAATAAGAAGAGCCCGGGGGTCCATCTAGTCCAGCATCCTGTCTCACACAGTGGTCAACCAATTCCTCTGGATGGCCAACAACAGCTGAGGCCTTCCCCTGATGTTGCCTCCCGCCTCTGGGATTCAGAGGCTTAGTGCCATGGCTCGTAGCCACTGATAGACCTCTCCCCCATGAATCTGTCTAATCCACTTTTAAAGGTGTTAAAGAGTCAATTTGGTGTAGTGGTTAAGAGTGCAGACTTTAATCTGGAGAGTCGGGTTTGATTCTCCACTCCTCCACATGCAGCTGCTGCGTGACCTTGGGTCAGTCACAGTTCTCTCAGAGCTGTTCTCTCAAAAGCGGTTCTCTCAGAGCTCTCTCAGCCCCGTGTGCCTCACAGGGCGTCTGTTGTGGGGAGAGGAAGGGAAAGGAGATTGTAAGCTGCTCTGTGAGTGAAGGGCAGGGTATAAATTAATCTCCTCCTTCTCCTGTGGCCATCACTACATTACTCTGGCAGCAAATCCCACATTTTAATCATTCTCTGTGTAAAGTAGTATTTCCTTTTGTCCGTCCTGAACCTACTGCCTGTCACCTTCATTGGATGCCCTCAAGTTCTAGTATTTGGGGAGAAGGAGAAAAAGTTCTCTTTGCCAACTCTCTCCGCCCCCTGCATGATTTGATAAACCTCTATCATGTCCCCCCTTAGTCATCTCTTTTGTAAACAGAAAAGTCCCAAACTCTCCAGCCTTTCCTCCTAGGGGAAGTGCTCCAATACCCCGATCATCTTGGTCACTCTCCTCTGTACTTTTCCCACCTCTGCAGTGTCCTTTTTGAGATACGGTGGCCAGAACAGTACACAGTATTAACAAATGAGGCAGCACCATAGATCTACACAGGGGCATTACAATATTGGCCGTTTTGTTCTCATGTGCAGCTCCAAAACGGGGCAGATAGCCCCCAGGAAGCCCTATCAGCATTAAAAGTGGCAGTCCTAAAACAAATAAATTTCAAGGGGAAATCACAACACGAGATTGCTGGACATGAGCTCATACACAAGTTCGGAACAATGGACCCCACCCAGGGGCTGAATCGGGACAAAAGATTCTTATCTCTCTACAGATGCTAATTTTCTGTCCTTGAGCACTTCCCCTCTGCTCTAATCAAGCCGATAACTATGCGCATCATACCTTTGCATCCTTTACAAGCATTCTTTGCAACACTGCTCCTACCTTCTGACTAGAATAACAGTTCCCAGATATCTCAGTTTCTACTCTCCTCATGTCTGACGAAGGGGACTTGACTCTCGAAAGCTGATACCCTGGAACTCTTGTTGGTCTCTGAGGTGCTGCTGGAACTTGAATCTGTTCTACTGCAAACCAACATGGCTGCCCTCTGAAACATTTAACCCATGATTGCTACAACACTGTTCTTTCTGTTTGTGGGCTATTGGTAAGGGGGTGGAGTACTTTTCCTGTGAGGAAACACTGGGGAGTCTGGGACTTTTCAGTCTAGAAAAAGGACAGCTGAAGGGAGACATGACAGAGGTTTATAAAATTATGCCTGGAAAAGAGAGAGCTTTGTCTGCCTCCCCCATAATACTAGGACTTGGGGGCACCCAATGAAGTCGTTGGGAAATAGGTTCAGGAGAGACGAAAAGAAGAAATGCTTATTTAATTAATGAGTAATTAAATTGTGGACTTCATAGCCAATGAACATAGTGATGCCCTCAAGCATAGATGACTTTAAGAGGGGGAGTTAGAAAGATTAATGAAAGATAGGTCTATCAATGGCTTCTAGCCATGGTGACTGACAGAAGCCTCCATCTATGGAGGCAGCAAACCTCTGGATACCAGTGCTGTTATTTAGGGCATTGACCTCTATGCTCTGTACTTTGGCCCTGTAGAGTAACTGGTTGGCCACTGTGTGAAACAGAGTGTTGGACTAGACATAGCATTGGTCTGATCCAGCGCGGCTCTGTCTTATGAGGATGACCACAAATAATTCTGCAGTGCCATCTGGAGGACTCTTGTGTTCTACTGAGTCCATAAACTGACCATTGCCTCATTAGTGTCCATGGAATACAACACTGGTTCCACCCCCATAACATGTATTTACCTAGCCCATAAAAGTCAACACCCGTTTCCTCGTATTCATCCTCACGGTATTTACCTCGCCCGTAAAATTCAGCACATTTTTTCCTCATTCATCATCACAGCATTTACCTCTCCCATAAAATTCACCACCATTTTCCCTCATTCATCGTCACAGTATGTACCCAGCCCATAAAATTCAACACCGTTTTTTCTTTGTCATCCTCACAATAAGTCATTGGTGTTTTAGAAATGAGACCCCTCAGTCCAGGACTGAACAGAGGTTTCCCACATTCATATATTCAAAAAGAAACGGACATGTAATACCTCAGGCAGATTTTGGAAATGTGAGATATAAATATTTTAAAGAAATAAATATATTTCAAAATTAGGATTAAAAAAAAATCACAAAAGGGCATAGAAGTTTTGGCGTCCCCCCCCCAGAAATCTCCATCGGCTGGATGTTCAGTACAATAACAACATCAAACAAAAAGGGGGGGTGGGAGAAGAAGATGTTTCAGAGCACGATGGAGAATCCCCTCATCTTTATTGCCTTGATAAACACACACACACACTCACACACACACACACACACACACACACACACAGAGAGCAGCCTTTTCTTGCCAAACACCCAGCCTGACAAAAATTTTGAGGGAAGTATGAAAGCTTGCGCAACCTGTTGTATGATATTTTTTATCGGTCCTGATGCGAAGGTATTACACAAACGTTGTTTTGGGGATTTTCCTATGCACCAGCGTTTTCTATGTCCATATGTTCCATTTATCTTTTGTTGTGGATCTTGAACAGGTTATTGATAAGTGAGCAAGAGTCCCCTCCCCACCCCGTTTAATAAATCCGAATGATTTTATGGATCCCCTGAGCAATCGGTTATTTTGATCTGAAGCCTGAAGGTGTAAGGGCAGTAGTGAGAAATTGTGTATCTTCTGCTGCTGCTGCTTCTCCCCCTCCTCCTCATTCAATTTCCCAGGAACAGGGCTCAAGGCGGCTTACGTCAAAGACAGATTCACTATATAAGGAAATTGAAACAACATTTAAATATATTAAGACAATTCATCAGAAAAACAATACTGTGTCCAAGATGACAGATAATTTCAGTATCTACCTGCCCCCTGGATGGAGGGGAAATATGGAGGGAGGGGGGGGAAGGGGGGGTGCGAGTACCAGACCGTCGCTGTCCTCAACCAGAGACCTCGCGGAACACCTCTGCCTTGCAAGCCCTACAGAAAGACAGCAAATGCCGTAGGACACGGATGTTCTCCGGCAGAGAGTTCCACCAGGCGGGGGCCAGGGACCGCCAGGAGGTTCTTATTACTAGGGTGTAATGCTCTTCCAGGAGCTGCGGTGGCTCAAGTGGTTAAGACGCTGAACTGCCGGCTGTGGAAGGTCGGTAGTTCAGCAGTTCGAGACCCGGGTGTGCTGCATGACGGAGTGAGCTCCCGTCTCTAGTTCCAGCTCCTGCCAACCTAGCAGTTCGAAAGCAAGAAATTGCAAATAGATAAATAGGTACCACTTTGGTGGGAAGGTAACAGCGTTCCGTGCTCCTTGGTGTTTAGTCATGCCGGCCACATGACCACGGAAATGTCTTCGGACAGCGCTGGCTCTTCGGCTTTGAAACGGAGATGAGCACCGCATCCTTAGAGTCGGATTCGACTGGCTTTCAAGCAAGGGAAACCTTTACCTTTACCTAATGCTCTTCCAGGGGCATATTGGGAAGGCGGTCCGGAAGATACGTAGGCCCCTGAGAGCTCATGGCCTTATCTAAGCAACATGAGTCTAGAGCCATGGGCGATTCCTATTCAGAGGTCTGTGTGCCTTGGTTACCGCCTGAAGGGCATTAAATTGTACCACTCTCTCATAGAGAGGGCCGTGGCTCAGTGATAGAGCATGCGCTTGGCATGCAGAAGGTCTCAGGTTCAATCCTAGATATCTCCAGTGAAAAGATCTGGCAGTAGGTGATGTGAAAGACCTCAGTCTGAGACTCTGGAAAGCTGCTACTGGTCTGAGTAGCCGATACCGACTTTGATGGACCAAGGGTCTAGTTCAGTATAAGGCAGTTCCATGTGCTTATAATCTCTGGAAGCAGGACAGGAGAAGAACAAGCTAGATTAAGTTCTAAATCCCAACCGCTGAAGCCACACGTCCCACAAAAGCTCCCTGCTCCCTTAGCCCACTGTCTTATCACTCACACTTGCGTCCTGCCCTACCCAAGGGGGTTCGGGCAGCCGCACTGCTGGCAACAAAGTTCACCCGTAACACCTGTGAACCATCTAGGCTTTATAAAAAAACTGCCCTGTTTGTGATCCAATATTTAGCCTTCCTTCTGTTAGACTGCACCAGGTACCTGCAAAAGAACAGGCACTCATGGTAGGGAGGCCAACCTCCAGGCGGGATCTGGGGATCCCCAAGAAATACAGCTCATCTCCGTACTACAGAGATCAGCTCCCCTGGAGGAAACGGATGCTTGGGAGGGTGGACTCTGTGGCCTTGGACACCCCACTGAGGTCCCTGTCCCTACCCAGGCTCCACCCCCAAATCTCAAGGCATTGCCCAACCTGGATCTGGCAACCTGACCCACCACCCCACCCCCACCCGTGGCCAGGGAGGACCCGGCAACCCCAACTATTGGTCTCCATCATTCAAGTCATCACTTACCTAGTAATAGTGGGATCACTAAGCCGTGTATTTCTGTAGTATCGTTACAGTGACTATGCTCAGGTTATTAGCATGGGCTCACACTAGGGTTGCCAACCCCCAGGTAGCCCCTGGAGACATGCTATTAAAACTGATCTCCAGATGACCAAGATCAGTTCCCCTTGAGAAAATGGCCGCTCTGGATTGTGGACTCTATGGGCATTGTGCCCTGATGAGGTCCCTCCCGTCCCCTCCGCAAACCCCACCCTTTCCAGGCTCCACCCCCTTGCATACCTCCAGGTATTTCCCAACCCAGAGCTGGCAACCCGACTTCACACCCCACCTTCCCCCAACCTCTTGCCTGGAGCAACAGTGGGGCTATTGGGGGCTCCTTAAAGGGCCAGCTCCACACGTTTTTTGAGAATAAGATTTGTTTGCGAATAAGGTTTTTTGAGAAGAGGGTGGGGACGGATGTGCATGCCCCTGCTTCTTCCGAAAAGCATTTTAAAAGATCCTTTAAATGCTTTTGAGAAGAAGTGGGGGATTCTCCCTCCCCTCCTGCAAGATTTATAGGGCCCTCCAGCTGATTGGTGGGCCACATGCTCCCTACCGAGCAGCTGAACGGCCCTTTCAATTTTGCAGGAGGCGAGGGAGAGGGGTGGCCACCGGTGGTCGGACTTGGGGGTGGATTACATAAGAACATAAGATAAGCCAATATTGGATCAGGCCAAAGGCCCATCCAGTCCAACACTCTGTCACACAGTGGCCAAAAATACCAGGGGCCATCAGGAGGTCCAGCAGTGGGGCCAGGACACTAGAAGCTCTCCCACTGTTGACTCCCCCCCCCAAAACACCAAGAACACAGGGCATCACTTGCCCAAGGCTGAGAGTTCCTATCTGTACCTTGTGGCTGATAGGCATTGATGGACTTCTGCTCCATATCTATATGGAGAAGTTGCCCCCTCTGTGCGGATATCTAAATCTGCACATCGGGGGCACTTGGGGGGAAAAGAGATTTTCCTGCACACTTTGGGCAATCCCCAGGTGTGTAGGAAAATCTGAAAAGTAAAAAAAACCCAAAAACTATACAGGGGCTACTTAAATCCCCCCCAAAGTAAAAGAGCATTCCCTGCGCGTGCGCACAGAACACCCTGGCAACTGTCTCACCGCTGCTGCTGCTGGGGTGGGAGAAGGCTTGGCGGGCTGGCAGCTGTGAGCCGCTCAGGCCTCGCCGCTGCTGGTGCTGGGGGGGAGGGGGGAGTGAGAAGGCTTGGCGGGCCTCAGGCCTTGCTGCTGCTGCTGCTGGGGGGAGGGAGAAGGCTTGGTGGGCCTGATGGTTCCGCCTGCTGGGCTCACCTGCTGCTGCTTCCTCCTCCTGTGGAGCTCCTCCTGCTTCTGCAGACTGGGAGCTGTGAGGAACACTCCCCCCCCCCACGAGTATCACGGCACGGGTCCCCCTTCTTGTGCTTATCTAATTCCCTCTTGAAGCTGTCCATGCTTATAGCTGCCGCCATCTCCCGTGGCAGTGAACTCCATGTGCTAATCACTCTCTGGGTGAAGAAGTACTTCCTTCTATCTGTTCTAACCTGACTGTTCAGCAATTTCATGGAGTGCCCACAAGTTCTTGTATCGTGAGAAAGGCAGAAAAGTACTTCTTTCTCAACCTGCTCTATCCCATGCATAGTCTTGTAAACCTCGATCATGTCACCCCTCAGCCGTGGTTTCTCCAAGCTGACATAAAAAATAATGGCAGCCCCTCCCAAAAAATTTTGCCCCACAAACCACAAAATCCTCGCTATAAGCCTGCCTAAGCTGGCGGCTAACAGGGCCTTGACCGTCACTTCAAAAGGGAGGGGCCCATAGTAAATATGTTGGTAGTAAAAGATGAGGCACATTTAGGCCTTCTCTGGTAACCAGGCACAGAGAGAGAGAGAGAGAGAGAGAGAGAGAGAGAGAGGGAGAGAGAGAGAGAGAGCACTTTTCCTGTCTGAGACGCTCAAAGGCTGTTACCAGAGTAGGCCCAGGGCCTGACTCAGTAAGCAAGGCGGCTTCATTTCTCTTTGTTTCCCCTTTCCTGACTCACAGAAAGCCAATGTGGTAGAGATGGAGAAAACGGTCCTGCAACGGATTGCGGTTGTTGAAGATAAACATCGGATCGGCATGAACAGTCTCGTGGAAGAAAATGTCGCTCTGAGGTAGGACAAAACGCCAGGTGGCGAACAGTGCTCCCTCTAAGCTCTGGAGTCTTGTGAGCAACAATTCTGCTTTGTGAGCTACGGGCATTTAAAGTTGTGAGCGAGCGATCTGGCTGCTGCATAAATGAGTTTGCTCTGGAGCCATCCCTTCCTGAGCCAAGACAAAAATGTGTGAGCTGGAGACTAAAAAACTGTGAGCGAGCTCACACTAACGCAGCTTAGAGGGAACACTGGTGGTGAACCAACTTAGAAGAAGCCAGTTTAAAGTATTGTTTTTGAACAGAACAAAGTTTGAGTCCAGTGGCACCTTAAGTTTTATTCTGGGTATAAGCTTTCGTGTGTATGTGCGTGCACACACAAGTTCATACCCAGAATAAAACTTTTGTCAGTCTGAAAGGTGCCACTGGACTCAACCTTTGTTCTGCTGCTTCATACCAACACCTGGATCTGTTTTTAGAACCATTTGTGAGGCAAAGTCTGGGCTCCTGGTCAAACCGGGAATTAAGATGTCCCCCAGGAGAATTATTTCCTTGTCTCTGCACTACAGCCTGTGTGTAGTCTTCACCAGACTGACAGAAATCTCTCTGAGAGCAATTCAGCTCCTGCAGGCTGACTGCATTCCTCAAAGGCAGCTTAGAGGGAACACTGGTGGTGAACCAACTTAGAAGCAGCCAGTTTAAAGTATTGTTTTTGAACAGAACAAAGTTTGAGTCCAGTGGCACCTTTAGGACGAACCAACTTTTATTCTGGGTATAAGCTTTTGTGTGTATGTACGTGCACACACGTTTATACCCAGAATAAAACTTTTGTCAGTCTGAAAGGTGCCACTGGACTCAACCTTTGTTCTGCTGCTTCATACCAACACCTGGATCTGTTTTTAGAACCATTTGTGAGGCAAAGTCTGGGCTCCTGGTCAAACCGGGAATTAAGATGTCCCCCAGGAGAATTCTACAGCCTGTGTGTATTCTACAGCCTGTGTGTATTCTTCACCAGACTGACAGAAATCTCTATGAGAGCAATTCAGTTCCTGCAGGCTGACTGCATTCCTCAAAGGATCTGCATCCACCTACTTATTCTGACCAACGTATTATGCTCACATGGGCTTTTAAAAAAATTTTTTGGGGTAAATTTTGTCCTGCCAAAGTGGGGTACTGCACCAAATGCTAGTCACATCTAAAGCTGCACTCAGACTTACACAATACTGGCCACTTCTTGGCCTACTTGAAATACAGAACTGGCATCCCCTTCCCAGATAGTGGGATCTCTTAAAAAGCATCCAACAATAAGTAGGGCCAAAATGTGGGATTCTACTTCATTTATACCACCTTTTCTACATAGTGGGAATCCCTGAGTGGCTTACAACCATCTCCCTTTTATCCTCACAGCAACTCTGTGAAGTAAGTTAGGCTGAGAACACACGACGGGCCCAAAGTCACCTGGGCACGCTTCCAGGGCAGAGTGGGGATTCGAACCTGGGTCTCTCAGGATCCCAGTCTGACCACCACACCATGCTGCTAACCCTGTTCTTTCCTTGCAGCCATAACAGGGCTTCTGTTGTCCTCCACAGGCGCAAGCTTCTTGAGAAGAACGAAGAGCTCTTAAATGAGCGGGTCCAAAGGAGCGCTATATATTAGCCACATGAATGGGCTGGACAATGAGGACCCCGTGTTTAGTCTACAGACCCTGCAACTAGGATGTCGAATTTGCAGTCTCGGAGTCAATGTAGTCGGCTTGCCAGTGTTTACCACTCGATTCTTCACTGTATATTGAATCTGGCTTCATGATCCTCCTCTTAAGTAAAAGGGATGGGCTGGCTAAAATGGGGCTTTAGCTGTTTGCTTATGGGCATTGCCAGTCTGTATGTAATTGCTTCTCTGGCAGAGGCAGAGTGCGTGTGTCGTGGGATGCCAGCCTCCAGGTGGGACCTGGGGATCCCTGGGAGTTGCAGTTTATCTCCAGATTAGATACCAGTTCCCCTGGAGAAAGTTGATGCTTTGGAGAAGAGATTGGATTTATACCCCGCTCTTAAGTATCCAAAGGAGTCTTAGAACGGCTTACAAACTCCTTTCCCTTCCCTTCCCCACAACAGACACCCTGTGCGGTAGGTGGGGCTGAGAGAGCTCTTTTGAGGACTGCTCGAGAGAACAGCTCTGAGAGAACTTGTAACTGACCCAAGGTCACTCCAGCAACTGCATGTGGAAGTGTGTGTTGTATGTGTAAAGAGTAAGGAGCGCAACTTTGGCAAAGTTGATAAATTCTAAACTGCGCGGATTCCATCCAGTGAGAGCAAAATCCACTCATGAAATTCTCTGACACCAGTGGTACTTTAACAATGCTTCACTTCGTCTGCCTTGTTTGCAAGTGATAAAAGCATGCGGCATTACAACTTCCTTTATTACTGCATGGCAGGACAGGCAGCTAAGCCCCTACAACATTTCTGTGCATGAGTCCCTGGTGTCAATAGGTGGTCTAGCTGGGGAGAAAAAAACAGAACTCCATAGGGTACAGAAACAAGAACTTGCTAAAAAGGGGGGAACCCGCTAGAGCCGCTTCTGATACAGTTGTTATGCAGTGGCGTATACAACTTCATGCACTCCAGAGGTTACATAAGACAAAGAAATCCACAACAATTTTGAATACAATTGAGTCTACTCTTTATTCTGATTCCTATGGTAAATCACACATGGTCTCCTTTATTCTCTTCTGAGGTAAATTATCTGTGCCTTTTTAGGGGCACGTGGCAAACAGCAATTGCTCTTCTTCTGATGTCTCCTCAGCAGTTTGCCTTCCTTCCTTGGTGTACATTTCTTCTTGAAGGGCTTCGTCCGTGTGCCTGTAGTAGTCGGTATCCTCTTCCCTTCGGTTTGTCACAGGATTATTCATGCTGGGGTATTTCCAAACCCGGCACGCATCACGAGAACAAGTGAGCGGTTTTGAAACCATTTCGCAAGGCCTCGACCATTGTCCGTTTCAGCATTTCACCAGCAAGCCAAGACCATGAATTCTTTGATCAGCACGATCTTTACTACTTCTCAGCTGGTAACCAACCTAAACAGCTCCCAGGCCCAACAGCTGGTGCCCACTTGGGCTTCTTCAAAAGACCTACAACCCACCTTTCCTGAGGTTTTTTTTAATCGGTTCCCTAGATTCTAATCTTGTGCAGACATGTAGAAAAAGTTCTCTTAAACCAGAAACAGTGGTTATACAAAACACGGTAAGTTTTCACTGAGTAAAACTAGCGCTTTACTTCTGGGAGTACATTTTATCTTCTAAGAAGCTTAAATCACACACTGCACGCATACACCTTTCTCCTTTCCTCCACTTTCACCTCAAAAACGAATCCGGTGAGGTAGGTTAGATAAGGCTGACAGAGAATTCTTAGCCCAAGGTCACCCTGTAAGTTTCACAGTGGTAGGGATCTGAACCCGGGTGGCTCCCAGTCAAAATGCGTTGCCTATCCCAATAAGGAAAGTGCAGATAGGCACTTCCGGAAGTAGGTAAAACAGATCTCAGGTTAGCTATCTGGAAAAAGCACTTCCTGCAACAGCTGCTCTGGCGCACCAGGGCTTTCCAAAACACAGCTGTAGCACAGGGTCAGCTGTCTGGGAAAAGCACTTCCTGCAACAGCTTTCCAAAACACAGCTGTAGCACAGGGAATGTTCCTCATTCTTCCTCGATCAAAACAGCTGAGTTCTTGTTAGTCAAGTAATGTTTGGAGCAACGCAATCTGAGATGACACTTGTGCAACACGAGTCACAGGATTTGACCAAGGTGTTTTTAGTCCTGTTTCCCACAGGGACCAGTATGCTCATAAGGAAAGTACAGAAGAAGAGATTAGATTTATACCCCGCCCTTCATTACCCAGAGGAGGCTCAGAGCGGCTTACAAACTCCTTTCCCTCCCCCTCTTCACAACAGACACCCTGTGAGGTCGGTGGGGCTGAGAGAGCTCTGACAGAAACTGCTCTTTTTCAAGAACAGCTCTGACAGAACTGTGGCTTGCCCAAGGTCATCCAACAGGTGCAAGGGGAGGAGTGGGGAATCAAACCCGGTTCTCCCAGATTAGTGTCCACGCACTTAACCACTACACCAAACTGGCCTTACCTGCCTACAGAAGAGCGGCCGTCTCCCATTTCTGACTAGCACCTGGTATTGAGGAGTGCATTAACCCACCACAGTTGCATGCATTTGGCTCTTACAATGGGTAGGCATCCCTGAGTGAAACCGAACAAAGCTGTGGTGGGAACATGAGATGGCAGGTAAGGTCTTTCAGCACCATGATTCTCTTTTTGGAATAAAGAGCCTGTCACATTTTCGGTGTAATAGATTTACCTCAGAGGGGGAGAAACGAATCTTTCCAGAATCGGAGCAGTTCACTGTTGGTTGGGTTTTGTTTGTTTTTAATGGTCATGATGAGTTACCATTTAGCCAGAAGGACATGTATGATGAAACCACAGGTGAATATGTGTTGCTATGTGAAAAACTGATTTGTGCTACAGAGGTGGGTGGGTGGGGGATCTGAATTCAAAAACTGGAAATCTTCAGCAGCTCCAGTCTTGGTGCAAAACGTACATAAGCGAGGCAACGGAGTTCTCTGTAGTGGTTCCTGTAACTCCAGAAATACAAAATGGCGGGCACACCAAGGAAGTCCTATGGCTGCTGTGACGGAGGAGGAGCTTCAGGCACGGGAAATATCAGTTTTTTCCTCAGGGTGAACGCCGGCTGGGGCATCTGTTTCTTCAGCCCTTTGGGGTCTGCACGGTAGCTTACGTCTTTGTTGACTTCTGTAAGAATGGACAAGATGTCTTCCCCCCTGGAGAGCAAAATTGAAAAAACAAAAGGCATCAGACTGATGGCAATTCTGACTTTTAACACAGCTGTTCGTTATTCAGGAGCGGGCAACAGCAAAGAAGAAAAATGATCAAGGAAATTGCGAGGTTGGGACTGGAAACCATGGCCTGAAATCCATTAGCACCCAACTCTGTTGGACTTGGGCAAAAGTTCTCGCATGCAACGTTTCCGCTACCGAGAACGGCAACCGGATTAAGAGACTTCCAGTCATCTCTTCAAGGGGAGTAGGAAACAGGGTGGGGGAATGGTAGCTGCAATCATGCCCCCTTCCCCAAGAGAAATCAGCCTTATCAGGCCGCCCAGACTACTAGGATGGGGCTTTTCTTTGTTGGGAACTCCACACGCCGTCCTCACTTGGAGCACTTTCCCTGCTTGGGCTCGTTGGAAGCCGTCGGCTCAGGAATGGCCTTTCCTGAACAGGGGCACTGGCAAAATCCGTTTCAAAGGTATTATGGCCCACTACTTCTCTAGCGCAGGATACACCCGACATGCCAGTCCATTATGAAGACAGTGACAGAGACCAAACCACAATCAGTAATTTGAGTTCGAATAGCATGTGAGGATTCAGGTTTTCCCTCTCTCTCTTTGAAACAGGAGGATTTAGGATAGGAATGCATTCTGGCTGTCCCCAGAAACCAGCACTTATTGCTAGGACCATTCTTGAAACTTTACTTGAATTTGTTTTATTTATTTACTTCGGGGGGGGGTCCCCAACGTGGTGCCCGTGGGCCCTATGGTTCGGGGGGCCCCCGTGTTTTTTTTTTAAAGCACATGGGGCCAAATGGGGCTTTTGACCAGCAATGTCTCTGATTGGCTGTGCAGATTTTTAAAAACATTGCTTTGACAGCCATTATTATCACAGCACACAGGTCTTCACTGTGTGATGGAAAGTTAAGTCGCGGCAGCCAATTTATGGCTGGCTCCGCCTCCTCTGGCAGTCATTCTGTGGCAGCCATTTTGCGCCATGCCTAATACACCATCTCAGAATTCCAAATGTGGCTGGGGCCCCCTGATTTACTTCATTTGTTCACTTCATTTATACCCCACTTTCCTCCCCGCTGGGAACTCAAAGCGGTTTACAACAACCCTGAGAGGTCAGTTAGACTGAGAGAGCGTGACTGGCTCAAGGTAGCCCAGCGAGCTTCCAGAGCTGCTGAGGGATTCAAATCCGGGTTTCCCAGAATCTCATCTGATGCTGGAAACTGTGAACATTAAACCTTGCTGGCCGTTAACTTCTTTTGTTTCAGTTAATTTTTAAATTTAGGAGTAGGCTCCACTGTATTCAACTGCTGCTCGGCTGTGAAAGTCTATGGGTGGAATTATTTTATTTTTATTTAAATCTATACCCCGCCCTACCCTGGAGGCTCAGGGTGGCTTACAGAGGACTAAGTGTCCGATTAAAACAATACAATATGATTTAAAACAATAAGTTACAATAAAATATGAACAATTTACAACAACATTCCAACAAGTTTCAAACCAGAAGAGGAAGATCTTATCTCACATAGCTACCAATGATCTTATCCTAGAGCCGTATTTAGCGCCACGTTGCACCCTTAGGGGCCAGGCAATCCGATGTTAATTCGCTGGGGCATAACAGTGGCGGCGGCTCCTATCCAAAGGCCTGGCGGAAGAGCTCCGTCTTGCAGGCCCTGCGGAACTGAGAGAGGTCCCGCAGGGCCCCGATCTCCTCCGGGAGCTCCTTCCACCAGGTAGGAGCCGCCACCGAAAACGCCCCAGCCCTCGTCACAGCAAGTTTAGGTTCTCTCGGGCCTGGAATTTCCAGGAGATGTCGCCCTCCCGACCGAAGTGCCCTTGGGGGAACATATGGAGAAAGGTGGTCCCTCAGGGGATGTTTACTCCTCCTGCACCTTCATGAGGTTCCTGTCGAGGTAAAATATGGTGAAGAGGTGGGGTAGGAAAGGAGCGGTGAAAATGCTAAGAACAGTCTTTCTGGATCCGACCCAAGATCAGCAGCACGGCTTCCTACAGTGGCCGGTCCGTTGCCCGGAGGAAATGCAGAGGCAGGTCAGAAAAAGCCGTGGCCGGAACTCAGGATCTGGCATTCCAAGGCAGGCATGGAAGTTCGGCTCAGCTGTCAAGACTAATGGCTATTCTAATAGATTCAGGTGGGTAGCTGTGTTGGTCTGAAAGCTTATGCCCAGAATAAAACTTTGTTGGTCTTAAGGTGCCGCTGGATTCAAGCTACTCCAATGCGTTTAACCCTTTGAAAGCCACACGCCACATTTTCCTTTGGACCTATCACCCTAGAACAGGGGTCCCCAACCTTTTCAAGCCTGTGGGCACCTCCGGAATTCTGACATGGTGCGGTGGGCACAGCCACAAAACGGCTGCCACAGGAGGAGGCAGAGCCAGCCACAAAAACGATGGCTGCAGCTTAGATTCAGTCGCACAGCGAAGATCCTTGCGCTATGGGGCCAGCTGCTGCCAAAGCAGCATTTCAAACGAACCCTGCACAGCCAGTCAAATCTCCAATTCGTCACTCAGGAGCCCTGCTGGGCAAAACCCCCACCCAGCCCTGCCCACTCCCTAAAAACACCTGGCGGGCATCAGAAAAGATGTCAGCTGGCAACATGATGCCCACGGGCATTACGTCGGGGACTCCCACCCTCAAAAGTCTGGAACGCCTAGGAACGCGCTCCAGCCCACTCGAGTTCGTCGTTCCATCTGGCCCCAAATGAGCAACCAGGATGGGTGGGTAATGAATACAGCACCACAGAACCCTATCATAGGGGCCAGAGAACGAACTCCTTCGGCACTGGGGGGCACCCTCTCTTACACACGGTGGCATTACTGCCCCACACAACTTGGATGAAGGGTGTTTAAGGATTTCTCTTCCCACAAAGCATTCCCTACCTCCCAGACAGCTGCTGGGTAACATCTTCGGTTCTGTTTAGTCAAAAGAATTCCTTGAGGTTTTGGGCCACTCTCTTCAAACAAAATTCGATTGACATCAGGGAAGTATTTAACTTCCATTGCTGCCAACACGGACGCAGGGGCACCAGCAGAGAGTGTCAGAAGGCCAATGTTAAACTACACAATTGGAGTTAAAAGCAGCAGTTATATCAACAACACATCGGTCCTTCAATACAAGTCATGCGGAAGGCAGAAGAGAGCATAAATTCCATGATTCTGGTTTAAATAATTAGCATGGACCTGTTAAAGCACCAATCTCATCGAGAAAAACTTTGGGCAGATTTCTCTTTAAAGTTTCCCAATTATTGCTACCTAGTTCTGCATGAGAGTATAAGAAGAGCCCTGCTGGATCAGACCGATAGTCCATCTAGTCCAGCATCCTGTCTCACACAAGTGGCCAACCAGTTCCCCTGGAGAGGCCAAGGCCTTCCTAAGAACATAAGAAGAGCCCTGCTGGATCAGACAGGTGGTTCATCTAGTCCAGCTTGTAGTCCAGCATCCTGTCTCACACGGGGCCCACCAGTTCCTCTGGAAGGCCAACAACAGGGCAGAGAGACCGAGGCCTTCCTAAGAACATAAGAACCCTGCTGGATCAGACCAATAGTCCATCCACTCCAGCATCCTGTCTCACCCAAGTGGCCAAGCAGTTCCTCTGGAGGGCCAACAACAGGGCACGGGCTGAGGCCTTCCTAAGAAGAGAAGAAGAGCCCTGCTGGATCAGACCAGTGGTCCATCTAGTCCAGCATCCCGTCTCACACAAGTGGCCAACCAGTTCCTCTGGAGGGCCAGCAACAGGGCACAGAGGCCGAGGCCTTCCCCTGATGTTGTCTCCTGGCTCTGGGATTCAGAGGCTTAGGGGATGACCTTTCGTGAGTCACTTTAGTGAGCCTGAAGAAGTGAGCAGTGACTCACAAAAGCTCCTGCCCTGCCACAAGTTTTATTATTCTTTCAGGTGCTACTCAACTCTGGCTCTTTTCCAGAGATAATGAAGAGATTACCAGATGTCAATAAAAGCCTTACCGCGGCACCAGCTGCTGCAGCTTGGTACAGAGTGCCTGGATGTACCACGTGCCTTCCCGCGTGTGCCGGAACGAGAGATAACCATCCACCGTGGCCATGCCAAGGAGGAAATCCGCTTCTTCCGGAATGCTTGGCTGCGGAGAGGACGATCCTGCACTCTGCGCATCTGCTCCCAGGTGATCGTCCGTGTCCACTTCAAGGTAGACGGCCTTCTGTGTCTTTTCGCCTTGGCACGCCTGGATGAAGAAAAGTTTGGGCTTCCTGGCCAGCAGTGGGCACTGGTGGGCTGTGAAGTAGGACATGATGGTGCGGATGGGGATCAGCTGGGCATCCGTGCCGTAGATTTCTCCCGATTTGCCGTGGGACAGAATGCAGCAGACCAGGCAGTCGCTGTCTTTCCAGTTCTCAGAAGACTGCCACTTCTGCAGGTGTTCGTGGATTTCAATCGAGGTCTGGTCATCGTACATCACCACTTCTAACCCGAGCCATTTAAACACATGTTCCAGTTCCTCTGTTTGAGAAAAGGGGAAGGAGGCGGAGTTTAGTGTGAAAAAGATCTCTGCAAAATCCCTCTACTTCTTCGGAGGTTTTCAAACAGAGGCTAGGTGGCCATCTGACAGCAATGCTGATTCTGTGAACTGAGGCAGATCATGAGAGGGAGGGCAGGGAGGGTTGCCTCAGTGCTTAAGTTCTCATGGCCTTTTCTTACACGCCCAGATAAATGCTGATAGCCACTTTGGGGTCAGGAACCATGCTCCCTCTAAGCTATGGAGTCTTTTGAACAAAAATTCTACTTTGTGCGCTACTGGCATTCAAGTTGTGAGCGAGCGATTTGGCTGCTGCATAAATTAAGTTTGCTCTGCAGCCTTCCTTCTTGAGCTAAGACAAAATTGTGTGAGCCAGAGGCTAAAAAACTGTGAGCTAGCTTTCACTAACTCAGCTTAGAGGGAACACTGGTTAGGAAACAATTTTTCTCCAGGCTAGTTTGGCTGGAGATCCTGGAGGTATTCTTGTCATCTTCTGGGCATGGGACAGCGGTCACTGGGCTTGTGGAGGGGACGTATTTCTGAATTTCCTGCATTCTGCAGGGGGGTGGACTAGATGTCCCTGGAGGTCCCTTCCAACTCTACGATTCTATGAAAATACATACAGGGGCTCTGATTTAAAGAAAGGAATCACATTGATTTAACATTCACAAAAAACTAATCTTGTAAACATCCGTCACACTTTCACCGTTTGACACCAGCTTTCTAATGCTACCATTATGAGAAAAGAGGTTGGATAAGATGACTGATAAAAAGCATCTGTATTTGTTTTACCTTCTGTCTGCAAGACAACAGGCGGCAAAATTGTGGGTGCAATTCAGAGAAGAGTCTGGGCACTCTTAAACCCCACTGAAATCCCTCCATGGTATTAAGAATATAAATCTGATAACATATGAACATATTCATCTGCCTTATGCGGAGTCAGGCCCTCAGTCCATCAAAATCCATATTGTCTCCTCAGACTGGCAGTGGTTTTCCAAGGTCTCAGATTGAGGTCTTTCCCATCATCTACTGCCTGGATCTTTTTAAACTGGAGATGCCCAGGATTGAACCTGGGACCTTCTGCATGCCGAGCAAATGCTCTGCCACTGAGCCACAGCCTCTCCTCAATAACATTCTCCTATCAGACTGACACACAAAAAAGAATTCTTAGGATATTAACCCATCAGTGGAAATGTACCCGGAAATAGGTTTATGTGCACCGTCCCTTTTAAAACGCAGTGTTCGAGCTGGGGCGCGGGGAGTGGATTCAGTTCCCTTCCGCTTTCTCTTCCCCGAATAGGGCAGAAAGCCAACTTCAGCGGGGATCGTGTGTTTGCGTGAGAATGTGATGCCCGGCGAGTTTCATTTTGCAAGATAAATGAAGTTCTGCTCGCAGCTGGAAGCTTAAAGGAAGAAGAGCTTACAGCAACATGTGCCACTAAGACGAAGACGACTTTTGAGACTGGCCAACTTTTGAGGTTAGCCAACGCCAGACGTTCAGCACTGGCCGGGCGGGGCTTCACAGGAGGCGGCACAGCTGAGGAGAAACCAGGCCCAGCGCAAGTGAGTGACAAACAAAGAAGGCTGATGTGAGGAAGAGGGCCGCTCTACGACCCAGGTCTGCTGCCATTAGTCATCTCCTCAGGATGTGGTCTATTTTTTAAAAAAAGACTCCCCAGTCACCAGCAATGCTCCCTCTAAGCGTTGGGAGCCGTCTTGTGAACAAAAATCCTACTTTGTGAGCTACTGGCGTTAAAGTTGTGACTGAGCGATTTGGGCTACTACATCATTTAGCTTGCTCCGGAGCCATCCTTCCTGAGCAGAGACAAAAGTGAGCTGGAAGCCAAAAAAATCCGCGAGCTAGCTCACACTAACTCAGCTTAGGGGGAACACTGGTCCCTAATGCTCCCTTCTAAGCTGTGGAGTCTTGTGAGCAAAAGCTCCACTTTGTGAGCTGCTGGCATTAAAGCTGTGAGCGAGCAATTTGGCTGCCACAGCAATTAGTGTGCTCTGGAGCCATCCTTCCTGAGCTAAGACAAAAATCTGTGAGCCGGAGGCTAAAAGATCTGCGAGCTAGCTCACACTAACTCAGCTTAGAGGGAGCAAACCAGTCTCCTTTCACACACTCAGCCCTCACAGGGGATCGCCGGCTCCAGGCTGGGAGATTCCTGGAGATCTGTGGGAGGAACCTGGGGATGATTGGGGTTTGAGGAGGGCAGGAACCTCAAGCAAGGTATAACGCCGTGGAGTCCGTCCTTTGAAGGAGCCATTTTCTGCAGAAGAACTGATCTCTGTAGCCTGGAGAGGAGCTGTGATTCTGGGGGATCCCCACCCCCCGAGGCCTCCTCCTGCTCCCAATCCAGAGTGCCCTAGCCTATTTACTTGCTCTGATCTGGAGGCAAATGACGTGGTTAGAGTGGAGCTAGACTGGGGACCCCATCTGGGTGGAAAGGCAGCGTAGAAATGTTTTAAATAAATGAACTGACACTGGCAACAAAACTACAGTTGCCACAGAAGTAGCATAGTCCAGATCCTGTTCAAGGAGTTAGTGTTAACCTTGAAAGTCTCACACTAACTCAGCTTAGAGGGAGCAAACCAGTCTCCCTTCACACACTCCGCCCTCACAGGGGATCGCCGGCTCCAGGCTGGGAGATTCCTGGAGATCTGTGGGAGGAACCTGGGGATGATTGGGGTTTGAGGAGGGCAGGAACCTCAAGCAAGGTATAACGCCGTGGAGTCCGTCCTTTGAAGGAGCCATTTTCTCCAGAAGAACTGATCTCTGTAGCCTGGAGAGGAGCTGTGATTCTGGGGGGTCCCCAGCCCCCGAGGCCTCCTCCTGCTCCCAATCCAGAGTGCCTTGGCCTATTTACTTGCTCTGATCTGGAGGCAAATGACGTGGTTAGAGTGGAGCTAGTCTGGGGATCCCATCTGGGTGGAAAGGCAGCGTAGAAATGTTTCAAATAAATGAACTGACACTGGCAACAAACTACAGTTGCCATAGAAGTAGCATAGTTCACATCCAGTTCAAGGAGTTAGTGTTAACCTTGAAAGCCCTTAACGGTCTGGGGCCCTCGTACCTATGGGACCGCCTCTCCTGTTACAACCCCCCCCTCTCTTTGGTCATCCTCCAGGGGCCTCTTGCAGACGCCTTGCCACAGGATGGCTCATAGCTGCTACCAAGAGAAGGGCCTTCTCAGCTGTGGCCCCTACTCCGTGGAATTAACTCACAGACGATATCTGTGCCCTGCCGAACTTGTTTCGTTTCCACAGGCCATGCAAAGCTGAATTGTTTAGGCCGGCCTTTGGAGTATAATGCACACGTTTGGACTCTTTTAATAGTGGTAGGGACACACCTTTGCCCAAGAGTGCCCAACAAGATACGATTATCTATTTTAGTCTTTAGGGAAATTATCTTCTAAGCACTCCTTAGAGCTGACATCATTTTCCATGCCCTTTTGGACTGCAATCAAATATTACGCTCGAACGAACTTTCAGAGGGTAGCCGTGCTGGTCTGCGGTAGAAGACGTAGCTACAAGGCCAGGAGCACCTCAGAGACCAACAAGATGTATTTGAAGGGGGGGGGATCAGCTTTGGCGAGTCAGTCCTCTGATGAAGGGAACATCGACCCTTGAACGCTTCTATCCCGAAAACCTTGTTGTTCTGCCTTCTCTGGGGTGGGTGGGGGTGGAGAATGAGAGGCCCGGTCCATCTAACTACTGCCTGAGCCACTGCTTGGGGGAGAGCTGTGCCTACACGCCTATTGTGGGACCTGGACCTATCAGTCCTGGGCTCAGCGTGTGAGGTGGCTTCTCTAATCTCCCTCCTAATCTTTTCCACAAGGTTGGGCATTCCCCCCCCCCAAAAAAAAGGTCCAGGCTTGCTGCCCCTGGAGGATCACAGTCTCTATTTGAGACCCACTGATGAGGGGCTGAGCAGGGGGGCAGGGGTGGGAGCCCTGGGCTGGAGGAGGGCCCCTCCTGAGTAAGAGGTCGGGCTGCCCCACTTAGGACCACTGGAGAACTTCCACCTTGCATGGTTCTCTCTCAAACGGGTAATTCCTGGCATTAAGAATTAGCACCTACTCAGCATCCATTAGCAACAGCGGTCAGGGGGGCCAGCTCCAGGTTTTTGGAAGCCCCGGGCAGAGAGCTAACAGGGCCACCCCCCCTGCCCACCACCGGGCCCCGCTCACACGAAGGGCCTGCAGATCTCCCAGAATCACAGCTAATCTCCAAGCGACAGAGATCAGTTCCCCTGGAGAAAACGGATGCTTTGGAGGGTGGGGGCTCTACGCCATCGCATCACATCCCCTGCGGAGGTCCCTCCCCTCCCCAAACCCTGCCCCCAGGCTTCACACCAGTGTTCCCTCTAAGCTGAGTTAGTGTGAGCTAGCTCACAGTTTTTTAGCCTGCAGCTCACACATTTTTGTCTTTGCTCAGGAAGGAGGGCTCCAGAGACAAACTAATTTATGCAGCAGCCAAATCGCTCGCTCACAACTTCAATGCCAGTAGCTCACAAAGTAGAATTTTTGCTCACAAGACTCCACAGCTTAGAGGGAATATTTCTTCACACACCCCCAAATCTCCAGGAACTTCCCAACTCTCGCCCTCGTCACTCCCACCCATCCTCGTGTCTCCCGCCTGCCCTTGCCTGCTTGTGAGACCTCCCGCCGCCCACGCTCACAGCTGCCCGCGTGGTCTGCAACCCTTTCCTTGGTGATCCTGAGAAGCGTGTGCAGCTGGTGGCTATGCTGATGCTGACCCTGACATACAGAATGACTGCAACAGTGCAACCAATATAAATGCAAGTAATTGTATGAACACTACAGAATAATCATTACTTGTATTTATATTGGTTGCACTGTTGCAGTAATTCTGTATGTAATACGATTGCCATACTGCTACCCCTCTGTGTCTGCTAGATGCTGACCCTGATAGCAGCAACTATGAACGGAGCACTGTAGAGAGACTGGTAGCTGCTTCTTTTTTTTTTAAAGCACCTCTCCAACTTTCGACAGGATTACTTCCAATTTATTGGCACGTGTCCCTTTACTGCAGCAGACTCTTCAATACACCCATCTCTGAGCTACAAAAATCAAGGCGCTCAAGACACACCCACGAAAAATCTATCTTTTGCCGAACCAGCTGTGGTAGAGAAGAGTTTTCTCCAAACTCCCAAACGAATATTTTGGACCTACCCCAAAACAAAAAAGGTTTTCTGTAGCTTGAAACAGCATAAAAACTGTTGGAGCGACTAGCAACTGCTGCATACAAATAAAGAACTTTTGAGTCCACGCGACAGCCACGTCGGCCGCTCTCTCGACGCGAGCATTTTCTCTTCGCTTGCTTACCGGCGTCTTTCTGAGATCCCATCCGCCGTCCAAGATGTCCCTCGAAGTTGACGTTATTAAAAATGAGGCAATGTCCTCTACACGGCCCATCCATTTTATACCTCTGTGGAACAAGAAGGTATTGCCTATTTATTGCCTATTTTGGAACACATTCGACCGGAAGCACGTTTCAATGGCTACAGGACTCAAAAGAGGATATACATCACAACAAGGTAATTTCAACAGTGTGCGTACGCCAATATCTGCAGTCCTAGGATAAAGTATGTTCTCCTGGCAACAGTAGTTTCTTCTGTGCCAACTTCCTTATTCTCTACTAGAAAGCCAATCAGAAAATTAAGCCCTACTGGATCAGACCAAAGGTCCACCTAGGCCAACATTCTGACAGTGGACACGCCTCTGTGAAACCCGCACTCTCTACCTGGAAGCTGTAGCCTTCCCTACTCGGTACCTGGCATTAGTTTTGCCACCGTGCCTCTGAAAACAGGGGTTCTATTTAAGCCTTTTTCAGGGTTGTGCACACAAGGAAGAAAGTACAGCCCACAGTACACGAGATCACCATTTTGTCTGAAAGGGGCAAGACACCCTTTTGGACAAAATAAAAATTGCGTGTACCCCAGGTAGTGATTTCTCCCTTGCGCACGGTGTCAAAGGCCTGAAAAAGGCTTTCATCCCTGTGACATGGAAACAGGACTATTATTTTCAGGGACAGATCTCACCATTTTGTCTGAAAGGGGCAACACACCCTTTTGGACAAAATAAAAATTGTGTGTACCCCAGGTAGTGATTTCTCCCTTGCGCACGGTGTCAAAGGCCTGAAAAAGGCTTTCAGGACTGTGACATGGAAACAGGACTATTATTTTCAGGGACAGATCTCCTCGGCCACTTGCACCATCCCCACCACCACCACCATGGCTTGTCCATTATTTGATGGGCTTTTCTAGAGATCTGCACAAATCTACTCGGATTACTTTATTCAGTAAGGCCAGAGCTGGAGGTTATGCGTGGGACAGGGCACACAACTTTAGCTGCCGTGGCGGAAGCCAGAGGCTCGGCCCACCACAGCAAAAGCAGAGGAAGAGAACTGGGCCATAAGGAAACACGCAGTTCAGTTCAGTTTATTGTAAACAGCCATTGGCCGTTACAAGTTTACAAAACCCTCAATGGAGAGGAATACGGATTGCAAGGAGACACGCACAGAAGTGGAGAGATGACCAAAATAGAAAAAAACTAAAGAAAATCTACACATTTTAAACCCATATAGAGGTACTGATTTCAGAGGAGCTATTCAGGTACCTTAGATGCAATTTTTGATTCATCATCCTGTTCGCGCAACGGAAAGCTCTGTTCTGAGTGGCCAACCGAATTCTCTGCTTTGACACCTAAAAGGCCACGACAAAGAAATGGGTAATTAAAATCCCAATTATGCGTGTGTATCTTTTTGTAAGAATAACCCTGGAAAGGTTAGGCAATAAAAAAGGAAACCAGTTAAAACACACACACACACACACACACACACAAATCTCACTCCACAGATCTCATTCTCACAAGGGTGCATTATGCTTTTAAATTAAATATTTTTAGGGACATAAGTTCTCTGTTCTGATATACAGGTGGCTCCTTTATTCAATGACACAAGTTTTATGAACTGGTTATGAGTTTAAAGAGGAAACCAGCCACCAATTTACAGCTAACGTGCAAAGAGCCAGTGTGGATGACTAATGGCTTCCAGGCTAAGAGCCAGTGTGGATGACTAATGGTCTTTCATGATAACAGCCAGTGATGATGACTAACAGCTTTTCAGAAACAAACAGAATCGCCACATGGGGAAATTTCGTTCAGGTTACAACAAGGTCAGTGACAAGAGAGGCGGGCCCAGGGCTCAGTGGTCGAGCCACTGCTTGACATGCCGAAGGCCCCAGGGTTCAATCCCCAGCATCTCCAGTTAAGAGGCAATGTCAAAAATGTCAACAGCTGCTCCCAGTCAGAGCAGGTAATACTGATCCTGGCAGACCAAGGACCATGACTCAATATGAGGCAGCTTCGTGGGTCCAAATTCCCATAAATAACAAAAATACTGCGATAATTCTTAGAGCCAAACGATGAACTTTCAAGATATCGGATCATAAAATCATTACTGGGGCGGAACCAATATTCCTGTTGTCTCCTCAAAGATACTAGTGGAACATACACCAAAAAGAACCTTTTCCAAACATAACACACGCATCTTAGACTCATTCGAATTATTGGTGACACGTGCAACTCTGGTTCATCAAAGCTGTGCGTTTGTTCCTCCCGCACAGGCATGCGTGTATGCTCCTATTAAGTCTTCTTTCAACTCTCCCTTCCCAATTGTTTTCAACTCTCCTTTCCAAATTGTTTCACATTTACAGGCAGGACAGCTTAAAATAATGAAATCCAGCACTCACAGAACACCTTATGACAGACCTGGATTCGATCCGAAAGAATGAACGTGGCCGGTGTGCTCCCTCAGGCTGCTGTAAGAATCTTCCGAGAGAAAAAACAAAACACAAAATGAGTGTCACGTCATCACATACAGGCCGCTAGCGTTCTCTGCCTACCTTAACAGCAGTTGTCTAAATGACCTTAAATTACAGACATTACTCTGAGGAAGCATTTCTCTTCCAAATACTGCCTGAAAGAACCCTTGGTTTCTTTCATCGGAACACAACATTGTATTCCAGTAATCACTATGGGTTCTTTTACTAAGCAGGACCTCAAACAGGCTATTAGGCTTGCCTCCTGCTTTGAAACGAGACTGGGATTTTATGACTTCCAGAACCCGTCACGAAACAGAACAGTCAAGTCGACAGTGTTTTGGGCAGGGATGCCAGCCTCCAGGTGAGACCTGGGGATCTCCCAAAATTACAGCTGAACTCCAGACTACAGAGATGATTTCCCCCTGGAGAAAATGGATGCTTTGGGACTCCATGGCACTGTAGCCTGCTGAGGTCCCTGTCCTCCCCAGGCTCCACCCCCAAATCTCAAGGAGTTTCCCAACCTGGATCTGGCAACCCTATACCCCCCTCCTGCCGGTGGGGCCTTGGAACCCTAATTTTGGGCCTGCTTTCATATGCATCATTAGTGACTGGACACAATTACTATATTTATGCACATTACAAGAATGCACATGAAGTGGTTACAAATACTCAGTTACAGCCTCAACGACATCTTTCCAGACGTAATATACTGCAATTGAATATTTATAATGGCATTTATCATTAGGAAAACTTTCCCTAGCTGTTTTCTCAAATCAGAGTACAGAGGAATGTTAATTTGATCAGCATCACCCTTATCTCAACTGGTTTCGGGTGGAAAACGCTTAAATATAAATCATTCAGATACGACACAAATTTTATGCATGTGCAAGCACATTGTATACTGCACACGTCTGTAAGTAAAATTTCTTATACATACATACACACAGCAAAGGCAAACACTTTTCTTATTCACTAGCCAAGAAATACTCACCTACCAGAAAAGGTCTTATTTATTTATACCTTCAGCTTTCACTTGACTGGATGGCCCAGGCTAGCCTGATGCTGACAGGTCTCCTTAACTAACCAGGGTCAGTCCTGGTTAGAACTTGGATGGGAGACCACTGAGGAAGTCCAGGGGTGCTACAGGGAGGCAGGCAATGGCCAACCACCTTTGAACGTCTCTCGCCTTGAAAACCCTACGGGGTCACCATAACCCAGCTGCAACTTGATGGGACATGCACACGCCTTAGACTAAAGCCCTGAATAATCAGATGACACACCAAAGACAAGAGCAATGGAGCAGAGGTCCATCAGTGGCTATTAGCTGCCACAGCTGCGGTGGCTCAAGTGGTTAAGACGCTGAACTGCAGGCTGTGGAAGGTCAGTAGTTCAGCGGTTCAAGACCCGGGTGCCGCAAGACAGGGTGAGCTCCTGTCTCTAGTTCCAGCTCCTGCCAACCTAGCAGTTCGAAAGCAAGAAATTGCAAGTAGATAAATAGGGACCACTTCGGTGGGAAGGTAACAGCGTTCCGTGCGCCTTGGTGTTTAGTCATGCCGGCCACATGACCACGGAAACGTCTTCGGACAGCGCTGGCTCTTCGGCTTTGAAACGGAGATGAGCACCGCAACCCTAGAGTTCTCTTACATTTGTGTTCTTAATTAAAGTTAAAAAGGCGCACACACAACAATAAAAATCCTTAAAAAATAACAAACAACCATTCTCTTACATTTGTGTTCTTAATTAAAGTAAAAAAGGCGCACACACAACAATAAAGATCCTTTAAAGATAACAAGCCAAACAATCGTTCTACCTGCTGCCTACACACCATTATAGAAGAGGCTAAGCACAACTGCTTAAGGGAGGAGCTCAAAGATTTTGCTGCCACTGCTTAAAAAAAGAAGCCTGGCACGTAATGGTCACCCAGGGCACCTCAGACGGTAGAGGCACAATGCAGGAGAGCCTCCAGGGAAGATCTGAAATGCCCAGTAGGTTCATATGGCCATTTGGTTTTTCCTAAACCCAGGCTACAGAGAGCTTTAAAGGGCAAAACCAGCAGTTTCAGTGGGGCCCACAGCCCCACCAGAAGCCAGTGTAGGTACTACTACACTGGCAGGAAGGGATCTATGTGGCCAACTTCAGTGAAAACTCTGAACAAGCTCTGGTTTCAGAAGACTTTCCAAAGGTGTGTTTACAGCAGATTTCATTACAAGCTAGATTGTGAGTAGACCCTGACCTTATAAGAAAGTGCTTATCCATAAAACTGCGAAAGAACACCTTAATAGGTTGGAACCACACGGTTAGGATAATTCCCAAAGTTTTGATAGGTGAGCTTTAGAAGCACAGCTTTCTGTGCCCACCACTGAGATGTGGCAGAATTGACCCCACCAGAGGAGGTTACCTGCCGCATTTCTGTATGAGTTACTTGTCTGGGTGTATCTCCTTCCAGCAACTTATACCAGTTTGGTGTCGTGGTTAAGTGCGTGGGCTCTAATCTGGGAGAACCGGGTTTGAGTCCCCACACCTCCACTCGCAGCTGCTGGATGACCTTGGGCAAGCCATAGTTCCAGCACAGCTGTCCTGGAAAAAGAGCAGCTTCTCTCAGAGATCTCTCAGCCCCACCTCCCTCACAGGGTGTCTGTTGTGGGGAGGGGAAGGGAAGGGAGTTTGTAAGCCGCTCTGAGACACCTTTGGGTAGTGAAGGGTGGGGTATAAACCCAATCTCTTCTTCTTCTTCTATACAGAGTGGGAGACATTAGAGGACTGGGTGTATTTCTGTGTCAGATGTAACTGAATTACCAAGTGATGAAGAGATCCCATCTCTCATCAGTGTGTGACTGGAAGGGTACATACCTAGAGCCTCACAGCAGTTCTCTCAAATCATACCTGTGGTGAAAAGTGCCATTAAGTTGCAGCCAACTTATGGCGACCCCTGTAGGGTCTTCAAGGCAAGAGACGTTCAGAGGCGGTTGGCCATGGCCTGCCTCTGCAGAGCAATCCTGGGCTTCTGTGGTGGTCTCCCATCCAGGAACTAACCGGGGCCGACCCTGCTTAGCTTCTGAGGTCTGAGGAGACCGGGCTAGCCTGGGCCATATCCAGGGCAGGACAGAGGCCCACAGCAGCCTTTAGTCTAGCACGGCACTGGCAGTTCTCCCAAGTCACATTGGAGCCTCCCAATGATTCTGGGAACAGGAGCAGAGTGATGAGTGGCGTGCAAATGAATCCCGGGAAACGCCAACCACCAGTCACGTTTACGGGTCCTCATGCGCCGGCCCCAGCTTTCAAAATGGGAGTTCTACTTTGCTGAGATCCTCAACAAATGACCACCCCAACTGAGAAGGCGGTGTGGAATCAATGACGACCGTTTCAGAAGACAGCATTGCTGGTCTGCAGTAGAAGAGCTGGGTTCGAGTCCAGTGGCACCTCTGAAACCCACAAGATTTTCAGGGTATCTATCTGACCTCCACGCCTGAGAGGAGTGGATGGAGAGTCTCAGTCTTGTTTTGACGTATTTATTGCTTTACCACGGTTGACCTTATAACCTTAGCTTGTTATTTAGTTTTGGCTTTGCGTATCTTAAAACATCTCCATTCATGTTACATGTTCATTTGCTGCTCAGCCCCTGTCTGTAAGTTTGGACTCTAGCTTCCTTTCCAAGGTATCTGAAGAAGTGTGCCTGCACACGAAAGCTCATACCTTGAATAAACCTTTGTTGGTCTTAAAGGTGCCACAATGGACTCTCAATTTGTTCTGCTGCTTCAGACCAACACGGTTGACCACCTGGAGATATCTGACAAAGAGAGCTTTGACCCTTAAAAGCTTAAAGCCCTAAAGTTGGTTTTAAAAGGGCTACTAGACTTGAATCTAGCTGAGTCAATGACATTCCCAATCTATGCCCGTGTTTTGAATAAATGGGTGACGGGTCTCTCCACTGAAACTCTCAAGGAACTCTCCCGGTACCTTACGCTCTTTTATATTTAAGCAGAATCCCAAGCCAAGAATGAAATTCAGCAACTCTGGGGGAAGAACGCTTAGCGTTCATTGCTCCTTAGATATATATTAACCTTTCCACCTTCCAACCCCCCATGTCCACATCAGCAGAGAGGCTCCAAAGGAAAGGAATGATTCACACCGTAGTTATCCCTCGAGATACAAATTAGGAATACCAGAACATACAAGTGTGGAAGACCACCGCTAGAGATGGCTACTACTTTTAACAAAGACTTACCAAGACTATCAGGTGGGTATTTGATAGATCTTTCCTGTTTAGGAGGAAAAGGTACATAAAATCAGATTTCCGTAGGGTGAGATCTGATTTGCAAGCATTCCATTAAGCTATTTGCCCAGTGGAAGGGGGACAAGATGCTCAACAAGGGCCCCTGATGCTGGAGATCCGGTGGGGAAACGGGGTACCTATATCCACTGTTGGTGGCCCTGCTTAACAGTTAAAACGTTTGGGTCAAAAAATTTCTTCCAATAAGGATATCACTGGTTACTCGACTCAACAAATCCCTGCACTTATCCTGTTGGACCTTTGGCGAGATTCCCAAATTCCAAAAATCCGCCAAGAGCTTATTTATGTCTTATTAACTGCAGCAAAAGTTGTAATTGCTAATGGATGGAAGAGCTCCGATATGTTGTCTTTATCACACTGGTATTCTAAGGTTTGGGATTTTTATGCCACGGATGAAATTTATGACAGGGTCTCTTATTCTGGTAACCCATCTAAATGCTCAGATTTCCAATCAAAATGGCCTCCTTTCTTAGAATTTGTCTTTAATGGTGATTTGTTACCAATTTATACAGCTCTTCACAAATACTATGAAGTATTACATTATTATGTAACATTGCTTGTACTTCGTATATGACTGAGATGTTATATCTTTCATTCAGTTTCAACTGTTCGGTAGACCATTAACCAGTTCTTGTTCAATTGTTGTTGTTATGAATTTTAAAACAATTTAAAAATGTTTTTAAAAAAGGGCCCCTGATCACAAATTATTCTGAGTGCATCTAGACCAGCTCTCCCTCCACTTCATTTCACTTCCCTCTCTCACCGCAGTCATTCCAGACTTTGTGGACACGCATGTCTCCCCCTCCCAGAACTCAGTAATCAGGCATTTAAAATAATCTTTAAACATTAATGCTAAAAGGTTTCTTTTTAAATCAGGCTTTAAAAGGCAACTTTTTACCTAGACTTTTAATTAAATCAGGCATTTAAAATAATCTTTAAACATCAATGCTAAAAGGTTTCTTTTTAAATGAGGCTTTAAAAGGCACCTTTTTACCTAGACTTTTAACTAACAGGTTTTATCTTACCAGCTTCTTAATGGTCTGCTTCTGTTTTATGGAGAGTTTTGGTGCTGCTTATGTCTAATGGCTTGGTTTTCTCCTGTTTTTTATACTGTGGTTTTCAATTGTCAGCTGCCTCCAGCACAGCTCTGAAAAGGTGGCGTTTAAAAATGTTCTAAATGAATACAAAAGGGGTTGATGTTTACCGTCTTATGTTCTTATAAGCATAGACAGCTTCAAGAGAGGACTGGATAAACATATAGAGCAGAGCGTCCGTCAACAGCTATTAGCCCCGCTGGTGGACCTCCTGATGGCACCTGGGTGTTGGCCACTGTGTGACACAGAGTGTTGGACTGGATGGGCCACTGGCCTGATCCAACATTGGCTTCTCTTATGTTCTTATCCTTCTTTAGCCTGCTTCTAGTCTCAAGTGTTTTGAGACCTGTTTTAAGCTCCTCAATTGTCTACTTTGTGTTTATATTCTGGCTGGCTTTTAACAATGTTTACGGCATTTTATGTTTTACTTGACCAAATTCCCTGGAGAGAGGGCACAGAAATTTTTCTAAATATGTAAATACCAAATCTGCATATTCATATTTCTGTACACAACAGAAACGTGTGACCTGCAAACAATTCTGACGGAACCTTAAGGCAGGATTGTGAAGTATACTTATGTACTTTTAAACTGACTATCTGCCCATCTCTTGAAGGCTAACTGATGGCCAACAGGAATGGACCCTCCATGCCCATACAACAGCTAAAAAGACTGATATTACAACAACGGAAAGATAAAAGGCCACCTCTGGAAAACCGGTGGATTGAGGACCTGATAGACAGCAACTGCATATGGACTTATTTTTATATCGTTTGAAACTGTAGTATCTTAGCTGTAGACCCGCCATCACTGTTGATTTATTTTTGTCTATATGTAGATTTTTTTCCTTTCTAAAAATCTTAATTTAGTTTTTTTAAAAATCTTATTCAGTTGATGGATTTTAAGGATTTTTCTCTCCCGCCATACAACAGCTAAAAAGACTGATATTACAATATCGGAAAGATAAAAGGCCACCTCTGGAAAACCGGTGGATTGAGGACCTAATAGACAGCAACTGCGTATGGACTTATTTTTATATCGTTTGAAACTGTAGTATCTTAACTGTAGATCCGCCATCACTGTTGTTTTATTTTTGTCTTTATGTCTCCCTTGTTCTCCCCCTCCCCATTTTTTGAAAGAAAGAAATAGGGAGAAAAAAGGATTGTGAAAGCTAAGTGTAGCTTTAGTGGACTGTGAAAGGTATCTACAGCTCACAAGGTATAACTGAGCCTGTCCTATCATAACATCGATTTACGGCCCTAGTCCTCCCCCGCTGTTATACAAGTTGTTGGGAGTTTTTATTCTTGCATCCGATGATTGAATTTTAATTGTTTTATCCATTTATATTGTATGCACTATGTGCCCTATGTACGCCACCCTGAGCCCGCTCGCGGGGAGGGCGGGGTATAAATGCAATTAATTAAATAAATAAATAACATAAATAACATAAAGAAATGGGCTCCAGTAAGATAGATTTGTGTGTGCTGTTCCACAGTCCATACGCACACACAGGGCTACATCCAAAGGTGCTTTTTCTGAGAGCTGAAGACACTTCAGACCAGGCAAACAGGGAGCCACAATTTCCGTGCTGTTCCTGCGAGTCCCCCGAATCCCCAAACCACAGGGGGCGTGTCTCCACCTGTGTCTTGTCTGTCAAGTCAAAAATCTTAAGAAGCAGGGGTCTCTATTTACCTCACTTATAAATACAGCCTTGGTCTAATAAGGTTTCCAGATAAGACGCTTTTAGGGAGCACACTGATTACACGCTCCCAATCTTTAATTTAAAGGTCATGTCCCCCTTTTTATTTGATTGCGGGCAGCTGGGGCATGAAGAATCTATAGGAGAGGCCAAAATGGGGAACTGGATATTCTTCAGTCCGGAAGGCAGTGGCCACAGACCCTAGGGATGCCAGCCTCCAGGTGGGACCTGGGGATCCCCTGGAATTGCAGCTCACCTCCCAGACTACAGGGATCAGTTCCCTTGGAGAAAAGGGATGCTTTGGAGGGTGGGTTCTGTGGCATTGGAGCTCCACTGAGGTCCCTTGTCCTCCCCAGGTTCCATCCCTGAATCTCCAGCAGTTTCCCCACCTGGATCTGGCCACCCTCTCCCACAATCCCCCTGCCACAGAGCCTCCTCCTTCATAGCCGCCACACCTCTCAATATCTGCTAAATCTATGCAGAATGCTAAAAGAACATCATCTACTATTCTGTCCAAGTGAGGCAACGGAAGATGGCACTTTCTCCACCACCTACCTGGATAGCAGCAGACAGGCAGGCGCCTCCTAAAGGTGATTCCCGAACTGAAGAGGGTGCGTTTTCTTTGCTTTCTTGAACTGACAGAGAAACTTAAGACAATTAAAAAAAAAAAACCCAATTAGGATCCAAACTCTCTCTTGCCTAAAGAGAACCAAACCAGATAAAGGAATAGTGGAAATCTAGAAACTTTAATTGATAAAGGAAACTTGGAAGAGTGATACTAATAGGGTGGCACATAGAAGTGCTCAAGTTCATTGAGTTCATTTCAAGTTCATGAACGTTGAGCTAAAAGCGAATTTGTTAAGCAGTATGTATGACCACCATCTCTTGGGTTTTTAGTGGGTTTTCTTTACTTTCTCCTATAGTTTGTAGATCCCCTCCCTAATTTTGTTGTAGTTTATAGAAAATGAAATAAAAAATCCTCTACAGGGGGCATAAAAAAAGAAGTGCTCAAGAAGTTAACTCAAGGGATGAAGCTGAGAAACCTGCAGATGGTCCACTCCTCAAGGGAATTTAGCATCCTGCACCAGAATTTCAGGTGCAGTACTATCAACTAGCTTAAAGGCACCTGTTTCCAGTACCTGAAGAGGTAGGTCGGTGCCTGCAAAAGCTTCTGCTTAGTTAGACTTCAGTCTCAAATGCTGCTACCCTAAGCCCAAAGGGCCACAGCTCAGTGACAGAGTACATGCGAGTAGTGTCATATTAAGGACCCAGTATACTCCAGAATTTAAAATGGGAGATCAGGAAGAATGGTAGGGATCTGGCTTGAGATCCTGGAGAGACACCCTGCTGGTTGGAGTAGGCAGCAGTGTTCCCGCTAAGCTGAGTGAGTGTGAGCTAGCTCACAGTATTTTCACCTCCAGCTCACACATTTTTGTCTCAGCTCAGGAAGGGTGGCTCCAGAGCAACTTAATGTATGCAGCAGCCAAATCGCTCACTCACAACTTTAATGCCAGTAGCTCACAAAGTTGAATTTTTACTCACAAGACTCCACAGCTTAGAGGGAGCATTGGTAGGCAGGACAGTGTAAGACCACTTCATGGGTTTGTCAACTTCAAACAGCTGTAGGTCCAAATAGCCCTGACCTGGATGGCCAAGGCTAGCCCAATCTCATCAGATCTCGGAAGCTAAGCAGGGTCAGCCCGGGTTAGGACTTGGGTGTGGACCACCAAAGAAGCTCAGGATTGCTCTGCAAACCACCTCTGTTCGTCTCTTGTCTTGAAAACCCTACAGGGGTCGCCATAAGCTGGGTGCCAACTTGATGGTGCTCTCCATCACCATCATGTCCAGTTGACAAGCACCTGTCATTGGAGAACACCACCTCAAAGGTCATGAATTGTGGTGGCCAAGGAGACAACTAGGTCACTAGAGTGGTACGTTTGAGCCTCATCTGGGCTCCTAACCATTGATCATCCTACAGCTATTTTGAGAAGACGTGTTTCAGGGCTCTTTTTGTAGCAGGAACTCCTTTGCATATTAGGCCACACACCCCTAATGTAGCCAATCCTCCAAGAGCTTACATAGCTCTTCTTACAAGAGCTACTGTGAGCTCTTGAAGGATTGGGTACATTAGGGGTGTCGCTTAATATGCAAATGACTACCTGCTACAAAAAGAGCCCTGCGTGTTATTCAAAGACCCATTATCCTGGCCGTGCTGCACTCATTGGGATGAGGAAGTCAGTGGCAACCAGATATGATTTGGGCAGAGCCATTTGTTCCTGTGGCGTAGAACCAGCACACCATTCCAACAAACCCAGTAGTCCTGGATGCTACTTTCTCATAAAATGACTCGACTCCCCATGCTTGGCCAATGGGGACTGTTCTACTGAACATGAACAACATTCTACTGCCAAATAAGTGGTTATTCAGTACCACTTACAAAGTGCTCTCCACTAAAGATGTGAAAGGCACACTTACATATCCCAAAATTGAGGCGCTACAGCACAGGAGTATAATCCACTTTGGACTGAGTGATTCAGGGCATCTTTAGCCCGTTATCCACTAGAGAAGGGGAGTCAGAGCCAGGGTGAGAACTGGGCATGGATCTGGGAGAACCAGATTCAAACCCCTCCTCTGCCATGGAGACCCACTGGGTGACCATGTGCCAGTCACTCTCTCTTCTCTCAGCCTAGCCTCCCTCAGAGGATTGGGTGTGAGGATCCAATAGAGGACAGGAGAAGAATCTCAGAGTTGGAAGGGGCCCTGCAGGCCATCTAGTCCAACCCCCCTGCTCAATGCAGGATCAGCCGAGAGCATCCCTGACAATTGTCTGTCCAGCCGCTGCATAGAAGTGTGGTTAGCCCTTTGGGTGCCCACCGGGCAGAGAAAGTCAGCTTGTAAATGAAATAAATATAAATAAAGTTCAGGATTTCCAGTTGTTTGTAGGCTGGGCAAACGTCAAAGAAGCTCAGGCGACAAGATACCCAGACATCAAGATACCCAGACAACAAGATTCCCGCATGCAACTGTAGACATGTTTGTTTCGCTGAGTCTGATGGCACAGGGTCTACAGAAAGTTACACACACCTCTTTTCAGTTTGTAGGTATCAATTCTCGTCAGTAGGTTGGGTGATATTTTGCCGCACAGCTCTTCCAACAATTGTAGGTTGTTCTCGGACAGGAGGTCATTCCTCTCTAAGGCAGTCAGTAGTTCAACACCAGACTAGGAGAGAAATGGCATGTGATATTTAGGCCTCTGTCTACACCTTTCCAACCGATCTTCCCACATCGTCCATCAAGCTCTCTCATACGCTTTGTTTTCATCAAACAAAGTGATGGAATCCCTCTTGAAACCAACACACATTTCTCAGTCCTCAGTTCAAGCTCTGTAATTCTGCAGTTTCAGACTCTTCTCATGTGACACTAAATTTAAAGTGCTGGAAATCTCAGGTGTTCATAAGAACATAAGAGATGCCAATGTTGGATCAGGCCAAAGGCCCATCCAGTCCAACACTCTGTATCACACAGGGCCAAAAATACCAGGTGCCATCAGGAGGTCCACCAGTGGGGCCAGGACAGTAGAAGCCCTCCCACTGTTGACCCCCCCCCCAAGCACCAAGAAGACAGAGCATCACTTGCCCCAACCTGAGAGTTCCTATCTATACCTTGTGGCTAATAGCCACTGATGGACCTCTGCTCCATATGCTTATCTAATTCCCTTTTGAAGCCGTCCATGCTTGTAGCTGCCACCACTTCCTGTGGCAGTAAATTCCATGTGTTAATCACTCTTTGGGTGAAGAAGTACTTCCTTTTATCCATTCTAACCCGACCGCTCAGCAATTTCATTGAGTGCCCACGAGGTCTTGTATTGTGAGAAAGGGAGAAAAGTATCTATCCCATGCATAATCTCATAAACCTCAATCATGTCACCTCTCAGTCATCGTTTCTCCAAGCTAAAGAGCCCTAAGCGCTTTAACCTTTCCTCATAGGGAAAGTGTTCCAACCCTTTTATCATTCGAGTTGCCATTTTCTGCACTTTTTCCAAAGCTATAATATCCTTTTTAAGGTGTGGTGACCAGAACTGCTCACAGTATTCCAAATGGTTATCTACTACAACTCCAAGATCTCTCTCTTGCTCAGTCTCTGCCAGTTCAGACCCCATCAATGTGTATTTATATTTAGGATTTTTGGCTCCAATGTGCATCACCTTGCACTTGGCCACATTGAACCCCATTTGCCATGTTGACGCCCACTTGCCCATCTTTGACAGATCCCTTTGGAGTGCCTCACAATCCTCACTGGTTTTCACCACCCTGAACAACTTCGTATCATCCGCAAATTTAGCCACGTCACTGCTTACTCCCAACTCCAAATCATTAATGAACAAGTTAAAAAGCAGTGGACCAAGTACTGATCCCTGTGGTACCCCACTCCTTACCACCCTCCACTGGGAAAATTGCCCATTTATACTCACTCTCTGTTTTCTATTAATTAGCCAGTTTTTGAGCTTGCCCATTTATACTCACTCTCTGTTTTCTATTAATTAGCCAGTTTTTGAGCTTACTTAGGAGCCTTTGATGAGGAACTTCATCAAAAGCTTTCAATCATCACCTTTGATTTCTGTGGAGATTTGGAGATGTTGCATGAATTCTTCCAGCGGAAGGGTCCAAGCGTTCAGAGGACTGGCCAATTTACTCTCTCACAGCAGTGGAGAAACCACTACGACCCTTTCCCTTCTAGTACAGCACCCATTTTTGAGCATGCAACAAGTCACAAATGAAGAGCCGGGCTGCACATCCCTTGGCAATCCTAGGACATGTGACGGTAACGTGGGCCACCCTCATCACTTTTCTGTGGCCTATCCACTGTGTCATGAACTGCCAACCGAGCCACCAACCAAATCACCATGACACCATTTCACTACTCCAGGCGTCAACTCAGTCATTCAGCTGTATGTATCTGGAATACCTGTCTCTGGTAGAACTCTCTCTCTCTCTCATGTCCATGCACCCCAAATTCCCAGTTGTTCATTCTTAACAAGAAGACTGAAACTGTGCCCTAAAAGCTCTATTCCTCTTCTTCTTATCCTATTGATCTTCTGACTCAAGGTTCTTGCAGATCAAAATCCAACCCTCTTACAGGCAATCACCACAGCTAAAGATTTAGCAACTGTTAAGGTGGTTTTCCAGTTCTCATCTACAAGGAAAAACTGGACAATTACCTTGAGGTAATAAATTCACATAACATGTCAAGAGAGAGGCAGATGTATCCTTATTTGTGGAATGCTGAGATTAATTAACTGAGACCCTGCCATTATGCTTCATCCGTCTCCTCTCAAGCATGGAGGCAACCGTTATTCCTGTTTGTTCCTTGCATCTGTTGAACAGCTTCATTATGCTGTATGCTAATTTGCTGCACACCCTCTACACACACACACACACACACACACATATATATATATATACACACACATATATATACATATATATATATATGGACTGGCAACTTCCATTTCGCTGTATCTGAAGAAGTGTGTGTGCACACGAAAGCTTATACCTTCAATAAAACTTTGTTGGTCTTGAAGGTGCCGCTGGACTTGAACTTTGCTCTGTTGCATAGTTATGTTATAATGAAGTGACGTAAGTAAAAATAAAAGCCTAAGACCTATATTACATCTTTGGAGTTTAGACCACAATTTTTCACGTGATAATCTTGTGAAATGCAGCCTGGAAATCAATAAAAGGCCACGTGCAACACACCGCCATGGCTTTTAACATGTTTATGTGCATCTGAGTATTACATAGTTACACCTCAACTGTTGTTTTTTTTAAATCTTCATAACTTCATGTATAAGTGTCTGGTCCAGTAAGGAGCTCCTACATCAAGGGTGGCCAATCTGTGGCTCAGGAGCCACATGCGGCTCTTTCACACATATTACGCAGCTCCCGGCAGGGTGGCTGGGGAAGTGAAGGGGAGGCCTGCCTCCCTGATTGGTCTTCCCTTCCCCAGCCAGTGTTCCCCTCCCTGGGTAGGCTTGAGGTGGTGGGGAGCAGAGAAAGAAAGCAACTTTAAATGCATTGGCAAAGCCCCCCACCAGCTGGCTTGGAGAAGGCATTTGTCTCTTTAAATCCCTTCTCCAAGCCAAGCCACCCGGTGTGGGAGAGGGGCTTGGAGGATGCATTTAAAATGAGAGTTGGCTTTCTTTCCACCTCTCCCTCCCTCTCCCATCTATTTGCTTTCTTCCCACTTTCTCTCTCTCTCTGACAACAAATAAATATCATTAGCAAACAAATAAATATAATTGGACAATTAAATATCATCATCGATACCTGCTTCTACCCCTTTGGTTTTTATTGTCGGCAGTCTCATGTAATGTCAATAAAAAGCAAATTTCCATATTTCGCAATAAAACCATGTGTGTAATATTTGTTCATGTCTTGCGGCACTCAAACATCTGATGTTTATTCTGTGTGGCTCCAGCGTTAAGCGAGTTTGGCCACCCCTGTCCTACATGCATCTCATAACATTAACTCTCGTCTATGGATCACTTATACTGAAATAAAAATGAGTTAAAGTACCACAAGACTCCTTTTCCCCCTCAGTATCGAGGCACTCCTTTTTAGCCATTGTGCCTCACTTACCATCTTGGGCTGCCTCTTTGGAAGATGCTCTCTCAGAAGGAATACAGCAGTTCCGAGATCGTCCTCCGTGAACTCTTCCGACAGTTCGTACAGCATCTGTCTGTGTGACAAGTTTCGAAAAGTGAGCTAGCTATTATATGGTAAACACACACTGCATATTTTACTTATTTTGATTTGTTTTCTTGATACCCTGCCGTTCTTGCTAAGACCGGAGGCGGATAACACAGTGTAAGACAAGGCAATCAAACCACTGAGAGCCAGTTTGGTGTAGTGGTTAGGTGTGCAGACTCTAATCTGGGAGAACCGGGTTTGATTCCCCACTCCTCCACTTGCACCTGGCTGGATGACCTTGGGCGAGCCATAGTTCTCTCAGAGCTGTTCTCTCAAGAGCAGGCCTCGAAAGAGCTCTCTCAGACACACTTACCTCACAGGGTGTTTGTTGTGGGGAGGGGGAGGGGGTTTGTAAAAGCTGCTCTGAGACTCCTTTGGGTAGTGAAGGGCGGGGTATAAATCCAATTTCTTCTTCTCTTCTTATTCTTCATTGAGACATGTGGAACAACGCAAAAGGATGAGGATCACAAAAATTAGAAACTGATTGCTCTTTATTCGCAATTTGGATGAATCTTTTTACTACATATGGTATAATCTGAGTTTATGTCTTAGCTATAATATTTAGTTTTCTACATGTTATACTTGTATGTATTTGTCCTTATATTTTGTTATCAGATTTGTTGTTGTAAAATTAAAACAAAAATTTAAAACAAAAATTAGAAATAATATAAAAAAGTAAAAGCAAGGCAAAAAAAGAATGGAATTACAGAAATAATGTGATAAGATAATACATACTATGAACAGTGGAATATGCTCTCTCTAAGCAGTGGAGTCTTGCGAGCAAAAGTTCTACCTTGTGAGCTACTGGCATTAAAGCTGTGAGTGAGCTATTTGGCTGCTGCATCAATGAGTTTGCTCTGGAGCCATTCTTCCTGAGCTGAGACAAAAATGTGTGAGCTGGAAGCTAAAAAAACTGTGAGCTGGCTCACACTAACTCAGCTTAGAGGGAACACTGCGTCACTACAGTCATGTTTACTTATTAAAAAATTACTCCATGCTGTTATGCCTGTTGCACTAACAAGTCGCTTCTAACTCATGTCAACACAATGAATTAATGACCTCCACAACATTGTAACATTAACAGCCTTGCTCAGGTCTTGCCAGAAAAAAAGAGGAGGAGGAGGAGATTGGATTTATACCCCACCCTTCACTCGGAGTCTCAGAGCGGCTTAGAAACTCCTTTCCCTTCCCCTCCCCACAACAGACACCCTGTGAGGCAGGTGGGGCTGAGAGAGCTTTCCGCTCTTTTTCAAGAACAGCTCTTATCAGAACTATGGCTTGCCCAAGGTCATCCAGCCAGGTGCGAGTGGAGGAGTGGGGAAATCAAACCCGATTCCTCCCAGATTAGAGTCCGCGCACTTAACCACGACACCAACCTGGCACCAACAGAAGGCCATGGCTTCCTTTATTGAGTCAATCCATCTCATGCTGGATCTTCTCCTACTGCCTTCAACTTTTCTGAGTATTATTGTTCTACTACAGCCTTATTCCCTGCACAAATATGCCCTCCTGAACAATCCTGACTTACACAGTTTGAGGAATGAGAGAAGTCTCCAAATCTCCCTGACCCCCTCAGCTTTCCCCCACACACACACACAATCCAGACCTTTGCAGATCTGAACACAAACTCTGCTGCCGTTTACTTCCTTACATAAACTACATCATAAAGGAAAACAACGACCTCGATCAGTACCAGTCAACACTATTTCAAGCAGAATGAACACCCAGATCCGAAAGACTTACCGGAATTCGGACACCTGCCCTTTCAGACGTAGATTCCCTTGGACCATCTCTTTGGTATAGTTAATCTTCTGCAGCAGATAATTATGCTTAATCCGATAGAGGAGCTCCGCTATGACAAAAGTATCCTCCGGATTTACTATGTCGCTACTTATGAGGAACTGGAAGACGTCACGTGCTGATGTCATCGCTTCCAGCTTGCCAAAGGGGATCAAGTCCTTGCAGAGAAATTTGAGGCCCTCCACGTCTTCCCTTCCCAAGCCTTCCGCAACCATCAGAAGCCGCCGGCGAAACTGTACGCTGTCACCCTCGTCCATAATGGCACGGACCTTCGACTACTAAAAGAAAAGAGAAAAAGTATATATTTTAAAAAATAACAAATAACAAAGTGGTTGGTAAAAGAAAGTGTACACGTTACTGGGAATGACACCTCCCCCCCAATCCCAAGACCTTTAAACATCTGCCCAGTAGAAATGGAGGCCATTAGTGCTGCCGGGACCATTCCGAATTCATGCGGAAGTCAGACCAGTGACTGTTGAAAAGGAGTAATCAAATCCATTTGGGGCCATTTTGTTCCTTAACCTTTTACAGAAATTGCGCATAAAAGTATTCCATACCAGATGTTTTCCCCAGGATAGGGGGGGACAGGATGGCTCTCTTGAAGTATCTGAAGGGCTGTCTCTGAGAGGAGGGCAGGGAGCTGTTCCTTTTGGCAGCAGAGGAGAGGACTTGCAAGAATGGGTTGAAAGTAAGGGCTGGAAGGTGCCAGCTGGATCTTAGGGAAAACTTTTTGACAGTCCGAGTTGTGCCACAGTGGGATCGGCTGCCTCGGGAGGTGGTGAGCTCCCCCTCCCTGGCAGTCTTGAAGCAGGGTCTGGACAAGCCCTTGTCAGGGATGCTCTAGGCTGGTCCTGCATCGAGCAGGGGGGTTGGACTCGATGGCCTGGATGGCCCCTTCCGACTGAGATTCCACGATTCTGTGATACATCCCAGAACATTCTAGAACAGCTGATGCAGGGTACATCTCATGACAGTGGTGCTCCCAGTTTGGTTCCACTTCCACCACCGAACTTTGTTCCAAGGAATGTCCAAAATACAAATTCCTATACAGCAATTCCTATACACAATGACTACAGTTGGAAAGGAATCTTGTTTCTTTAGCTCACGAAAGCCTAAAGGTCTTAACCAACTAATAAATTTAGTTATAAGCAGGGGTCATTTCCTGCAGGAGCGCACAGGAGCGGAGCTCCGGCAGTAAGGAGCCCAGGGGGCGGGCACACGCAACAAGCCCCACCCCCTGCCCCCAGCAGCCCTCAGTCAGAGCAAGAAGCAGCCAGGTAAGTTGCAGAACTCCCCCCGCCCCCTGGTCCAAAACAGTCCAGTGGCACCTTTAAGACCAAGTTTTATTCAGGTACAAGCTCTCCCTCCTCTGCAAGGACAGATCTGCACGTTCTCCCCCCCAATAGCTAGCAATCCAAAACAGTCCAGTGGAGCATGAGCGGTGGGTGTTGCCTTCTGACACACTTCAAATGATGTCAGGGGGTGTGGCATATGCAAATAAGCTATGCTAATGAGCTCCTGCACCTCTTTTTCTACGAAATGACCCCTGGTTATAAGGAGGCATGTCGGTTTGCTATTTGGAAGGGTAAACTGGAGAACCTTCTGGAAAGCAAGTTTACCAGTGACTAGGCATGTCAGTTTGCTGCCCAGAAGGCAAAGCAGCATACACATGAACACACATGAAGGTGTCTCATGCGGAATCAGTCTGTCAAGATCAGTATTGTCTACTCAGATGGGCAGCAAATCTCCAGGGTGTCAAGTGGAGATCTTTCACAGCACCTACTGGCTGGTCCTTTTAACTTGACGTGCTGGGGATTGAACCAGGGACCTTCTCCATACCTACCGGCAGGCCATTTGTAAAAACCTGTCCCTCATTATTTTCCTTGGAGTCCCTCCTTAATCTCCAACTGGTATTCCAACCATTGCAATTTGTACTTGCCAGAAGTAGCTCAGCCCCAAATGAAGACTATGAAACTAAGTTAAAGACCAAAGCAAACACAATTGCTATGGTGGAACTTGGTGGCAGCACACCTCTACACACATTCCTGGCTACACTAAAATATATTCCCATGTTAGGTTGCTTTTCATGTTTTATGAACAGTACTATTTTCCCATAGGCTCTCTAACAGAAAAAAAACTGTGTTCAAACAACTCCTGTGTTTAAGTCATAAGAGGGCCCTGCTGGATCAGACCAGTGGTCCATCTAGTAAAGCATCCAGTCTCACGCAGTGGCCAGCCAGTTCCTCCGGAGGGCCAACAACAGGGCACAGAGGCTGAGGCCAGGGAAAACGGCTAACATTAAAATTATCATGTAAAGGGAACACAAAGATAGGGAAAAAGTCACTATTTAGTTGGTGAGGAAGATACTTGGCTCACTTGTATTGACCTGGAATTGCTATGTATCTTACACACAGGAGTTAATGTAAAAAAAACCCCGGGTTATGATTATAGCTATCTTTTTTTAATCCCAAAAGTTCACTCCCAACTGGCAACCTAAGAGCTTCCAACACTGACTGATGAACCTAACTTCCAGTTCACCTGGGCATGTGTGTGTCTGTTGCTGGCTGGAGTCAACAAGGCCCAAGAACCTGCTCTTGAATAAATTGCCAGTAAGGCAAACGGAAGCCCCCGACTATCAGCAGTGACAACACCTGTACTTCTCAGAGAATGGAATGGCCATCGGAAACAGAAAACAGGTGTCCTAGCTAGGGTTTCCTACCCCCCAGGTGGTACCTGGAGATCTCCCGCTATTACAGTTGATCTCCGGCTGATCAGAATCAGTTCCCCTGGAGAAAATGGCCACTGGAGGGTGAACTCTATGGCATGATATCATGCTGAGGTCCCTCCCCTCCCTGAACCCCGCCCTCCCTAAGCTCCACCCCCCCAAATCCGAGGTATTCTCCAACCCAAACCTAGCAACCCTAGTCAAAGCCCAGACTATTGATCCAGTCCCTTCTTATTCCGTCCTCCCTCTAAAGACCACAGGGCAGCATACATGGTTTTCCCTCTCCCTTTTTACCCTCACAACAACCCCCTGAAAGAGGTTAGGTTGAGACACAGTGACCGGCCCAAGCTCATCCAGCAAACTCCATGGCGGGGAGGATGGGGCTTGAACCGGGGTCTCTCCAATCCTAGTCCAACACTTTAACCACAACACCACACCGAGGCTGCTGTCTACCATGCAGGTCTCCCTTGCCTGGCCGGAACAGTCGAGGCCCAACCCAACTCAGGGTTTGCCTTCCCTTCCCCTCTGCATCAAAGATTCAGTCAACTGGTTCAAACCCTCCTGTGGAATTCACCTCAGCTCCTGAAGGTTTCTCCAGCTAGCTCTTGAGAGTCCCCAAAAGTTGTAAAATTTACACAGAGTTGCACCAGAAGACAACCCATAAGTTGGCTGTAACTTGACAGCATTTTCCACCACCACCACCACGACAGAGGAGAAATGGAATCTGGCACAGCATCCCTGCTAGGAATCACTCAAAGCCATGTTCTGCTTCCCTCCATATTGGAACTGGCTCTTCTGCCTTGCCAGCAGTCCTAATTCCAGCTCTTTCAGGGCCTCTTCCACTTGCACCTCTAACAGCCACCGGCATTAAGAAATTAGCAAGGTGACGATTCTTGCATCACGTTCTTTTCTCAGC